GGGTTCGATTCCCCACATGGGTACAATGTGTGAAGCCCATTTCTGGTGTCCCCCGTCGTGATATTGCTGGAAAATTGCAAAAGCGGCGTTAAACTATACTCACTCACCAACTTACTCGTGGCTCTGCTTACTCGTGAAGATCCGGGTCAGAATATTGATCTTCAGTAACCAATGCTGGTCGTAAGAGGCGACTAACGGGATCGGGTGGTCAGGCTTGCTGACTTAGTTGACACATGTCATCGGTTCCCATTTGTGCAGATCAATGCTTATGCATTAAAGGATCCATACTCAGTTGCTGGTGCATTTCTTTTATGGATCATTATTCGTGCGTCTTGATACACTCAACAGCATATAGTAATATGGCTCATTCCCAGATTCCTGGCTAACAGCAATTATAATTTCAATTCCTAAACCAGGCAATGATAATACAAATCCTACGAATTATTGTTTAATTGTGTTGACATTAGTTTGTTTGAGTAAGAATGATACCGATAAATCACAATGAAAACATCAGACAACTCTGGGGAAAAGTTTTATAATGTTTGTCTTCAAAATTAAAGAGTTACTTCACAAACAATAATCATCTTGTTTTGAATTTCCGTGTGACGTTTTACGAGGATAAAGTAATAGTAGTACGTACTGTGTCAGTAACGGCCCAAAGGGCGGGAAGAACGTGCAGCTAAGACTTTGTCTTGGGTCTTTTTGAACTTCTCCTGTTGACAGTCTTTACGTTGAGGCAGATGAGCCATCTCTTGAACAACGCCGTATAAAACTATCTTTACAGTATATTACAAAACTATATTCCAGCGAATCAAACCCTGCATATAACCGTGTCTTTCATCCTCTTTATCAGGATTTATACAACAAGAAATCTTCTTTTGTTCCGCCTCTTGGGCACAGAATTAAACCTTTTCTTTCTGCTGCCGGCATTGATCTTGAAACTATATCTCCTTCCCGTCTTCTTTCTTCTCTGCCTTGGCAATTGGTGAGGCCATAAGTTGACCTAACGTTCACCACATTTCAAAAATAAGAAACAAATGAATTACAATATAAACAAGAATTTAGTCAATTAAGAAATAAATATATTACATATAAATCCTTATTTACAGATGGGTCAAAGGATGGTGGCGCGGTTGCTTGTGCCACTGTCATTGGATCCAGAACAATATCTTCTCGATTACCAAATAACAGTTCTATCTTCACAGCACAAGCTCACACTATATTAACAGCTCTTAGATATATCAATAAACACCGCAAATATAAACAATACATAATCTTTTCCGATTCTCTTTCGTGCCTTCAGGCCATTAGAAACCTTTCTTGTAAACATCCACTTTTAATAGAAATTATTGAATTGTATAATGAGCTTGCTACTGGCCAATGCGACATCGTCTTTTGTTGGTTACCCTGTCATGTTGGCATTTCTGGGAACACAATAGCTGATCTTGCTGCTAAGGCAGCACTAAACAAATCTGTGACACCACTTTTTATCCCATACTCTGATTACAAAGCTGCTATTAGATCTTATATCCGTGATCTCATGCAAATGAAGTGGGACACCCAAGTAGGTATCAATAAATTACATGCAATAAAACCTTCTATCGGTTACACCTACTTGGGTTGTCAGTCCAGATATGAAGAGGTCATCATACGACGATGTCGTATTGGCCACACAAGATATACTCATGAGTACCTATTGAAGGGCGAGGATCCTCCGTTTTGTATCCCTTGTGATGAAAGAATCACGGTCAAGCATGTCTTGCTTGACTGTGTTGAATATTCCATCACAAGGGATATCTACACTCTGTCGAAAAAGAAACTTCACACTCGTTTGGAGGTCGATAAGTTGAACATACATGAAAAGAGGTTTTAAATAATGATTTTATTTCGTTCTGTACCCATTAAGGACGGTGTACCATAAGAATCATGTTCATAATGTAACCAGTTCCACCGGAAATGCTACGGAAATGTAAGAGAGTTAAAAAATGGTAAGTTACAACTTGATGAAAGCATGTCAATAGCGCGTATGCCCTCCATGAGCGTTCACAACTGCGACGCAACGTCTCCTCATGGATTGAATGATGCGTCGCCATAATTGTACCAACATGGCCCCAAGTTCCTGCAAATTCTGTGGAGGGTTCCTTACTTGACGGAGTCTTCTGCCCAACGCATCCCATACATGTTCTATGGGATTGAGGGCCACTCCATGACATTGATGCCAGCATTCCTAAGAAAATTCCGCGTTAAATTGGCCGTATGAGGTCTGGCATTATCGTGTTGGAATGTCAGACCTGGGCCAAGAGCTGCCATGAATGGCAAAAGCTCTGGAATAAACACTTGATCCCTGTATCCTGCAGCAGTTAGGTTTCCTTGAACGACAATCAGTCTGGAACGGGCAGGACCATTAAAGGCACCAAAAGCCATAACACTACCGCCCCCAAAACGGTCCACTTCCTGCACACAACACTGGGCGTTGCGTTCACCGCGTCTCCTCCAAACTCTAACTCTCCCATCAGCTAAGTGCAAATTGAATCTGGATTCGTCACTAAAAACGACCCTATTCCAATCACGCTGAGTCCATCTGAGATGTCGCTGTGCCCAGATAGCCGTTGACGTCGGTGTAACTGGGTTAAAATTGGTCCACGATATGGCCGACGTGCATGGAGACGAGCAGTGCGCAGGCGATTACGTATTGTTTGGGCAGTCACACGACCTCTAAACAATTCATTCCTAGTGGACGTTGCAGTGAGAAATCGATTAAGCAAATGACGTAAGACGATTTGTCGGTCTTCCGCTTGTGTCGTGACACGTGGTCTACCCGGACGAGGTCGGTCTGCTGTGGTGCCAGTTTGTTGGAGACGTGTCCGAAGATCATGGATAGTCCGTCGGCTGCATCCCATAACCCTGGCAACGTCAGTGACCGACGTTCCCGTATTCAGCATGCCAATGGCACGTTCACGTTGAATGTTTGACTGTCGTGGCATTGCAAATCAACGGATAATTGACTGCAAGAACTTGTTTTTTCCGAGATGTCGCTCTACCGTGCTAACTTGGTCTCAATTGCACGTGTCTCATAAGATCACGTGACTAGGAACACGAGAAAACATGTTTTTAACGTGATGTACACTCGCACGTGCTGCATGACTGTGCACGTCGGAGTTGATGTGTGTCATGATGTCTTTGACAACGCATTTACCCCTAATAATAATAATAATAACTCTTGTATTCAGTTTCAAGAAAATATTTAGAAATGTATGAGTGTGAAGTGTGTATATTTCACATCACGAACTATGAAGGATTTACTAATGTAAGCTCTCATTTAATTATTGCATTTTTAAAGAATTAGATTTGTTAAACGATTTGTAAACAGATAAATATTTTACCATTGGAAGTTTGAATTAGTAACTCAGATTGTTAGTGGCTGTATCCTCAAGGGGGGTTAAAGTACTGTAAAATTATTGTCCTCCTTAGAGGACCAAAACATTTGAAGTAAACTTCTAATCTTCCACTTTTTTAATCGTAGTATTCTTGTCATTTTAATTTGTGGCATATTTTGCTTACAATAGCCAACGGCTGAAGGGATGGTGTGAATCCAACTAGGGTCCATGCAGGTAGCTAAGGTACTAAGGTCCCAATGTTCACTAGTATGGTGATCTACCTTTAGTTGTTGGCGATCTCTAGCCATCTTTCAATATTGTATTGTCCAAATAGTGCTATTAGTTTTAACTTTCTAAGCCAGTATTAATTCAAATTGTGATATTCTAGTTGTTTTACTGTCCTTCGTCGGCAGGTTTTAATATATCTATATATATTCTATTTCAATGTCAAATGTTCTCGTCACGATATGGCTGAAATATTGCCGATGTGACGTTCAATAATAACTCACTCACTTCTCTCAGATTGTACACATATGATGACTGGTTGAATGGTGGCGTTATTTAATTCACCTTTTATCCAGTACTGATTCTCTCTTTCATTTCCAACTTTCTGTTCGCAGTCATGCCACATTACTGGTGTTATTTTACTTATTGCGATGTGTACATCGTTTCGGACGTAAGAAAAGTTTGAATGTGGTATTGTTGAGATCCACATAAGATTTTATGATACCCCAGATATGTTCTATTGGGTTGAGATCACGGCCATGACCTTGGAGATATTGATCTACATTTCAGATTGATGTTGTTGTGTTGCGCTTTTTTATGTCTTACCACTCGTGAAGGTCCGGGTTAAAATATTGATCTTCAGTAACCCATGCTTGTCGTAAGAGGCGACTAACGGGATCGGACGGTCAGGCTTGCTGACTTGGTTGGCACATGTCATCGGTTCCCAATTGCGCAGATCGATGCTCATGCTGTTGATCACTGGATTGTCTGGTCCATACTCGATTATTTACAGACGGCCGCCATATAGCTGGAATATTGCTGGGAGGCGTAAAACTTAACTTACTCACTTACTCGTGGCTCTGCTGACCCGACCAGATCCGGGTTAGAATTGACCTTCAGTAACCCATGCTTGTCGTAAGTGACGACTAAAGTGATCTGGCTTGCTGACTTGGTTGACACATATCATGGTATCCCAGTTGCGTAGATTGATGTTCATGCTATTGATCACTGGATTGTCTGGTTCCAGACTCGATTATTTTACAGACCGCCGCCATATAGCTGGAATATTGCCGAGTGCAGCATTATAATGGTCTGTAAATAATCGAGTCTTGACCAGAAAATCCAGTGATTAACAGCATGAACAACCATCTACAAATTTGGTGATACGATGACATGTCAACCAAGCCTGTAAGCCTGAATACCCTATCCCATTAGTCTCCTGTTACTTATCTAGATGTCCGTTTTGGCGCCTCGATAAAAATACATGTTTACAACAATGCATTTGAAATGGCATTAATGACTTTTCTTCTGTTACAAAACTGATATTTAAGTTATAACAAAACTAACACTTGTGGCTTGCATGAGATTTAGTGTTGAAACTGTCACTACACTGACAGATTACGGGTTGCACCTCTCATAGATGGTTCTCTTCTTGATTGTATCAAGGGCCAAAGGATTGCTTATAGGGAAAACATGGTCTTGATAGGGAGGTGACGCAGCCATGATTATGGTAGAATTGTTTATGTCTGCTGTCACGGGAACAACAAAGACAGTTGCCTCTGCATGAAGACCGCCTATGTTGCTGGCAATGACAGACACCTGACTACTTTTACCATCCGTAAATATGATAGCTACATTTTCAGCATCAGAGCGGTCGCCGTTGCTCCCGACAAACACATCAGATACAGCCATTTTGATAGCATCACCAAGGAACGTCGAACCGCCTTCGTAGTGGGGAACTTTAGCAGCTTGAACAGCAGCTGTTTTGTTGTCTCTGTATGACTTCAGTGGAAACACCAACTTTGCCTCTCCTGCAAAAGTCACCAGTGCCACATTTACCACGTTGGACTCGATATCAGAAGAACTGACCAATGCAACTTCAAAGTTCTTCATTTTCTTGTAATTTTCTTCCGAAATGGATGTAGAAACATCATCTATGAGAAGAATGTCCATTTTTTCTTGTTCACATTCTGAAAAATAGAAAGCGTGTTATCTGGGTAGGTGTTCAAAGCATGTGGCGTGGGCATGATTGTCACTTGTACAACCAACAGTGGTGGAATATCACCTTATGTGAGTGAGTGGATTCTATTTTATGCCACAGAAGGTAAATGGGCAATAATGTTTTTGATAGCAGACTAATGATCTTCGTCCCTCAGCTAGCATTACAATCTATAAGCCTAGTCCCAATTTTGAACTACCTGAACCTTAGAAGTGAGTCTCAAATGATGTCCAGTAAATTGATAATATTACAGTAATGCCACCCTAGTTTGGAAGTAGTGAGTGTGTGAGTTTAGTTATAGCAATATTCCAGCAATATCACAACGGGGGACACTAACAATGGGCTTCACACATTGTGCCCAATTCTGGAGTAAATCATGAAGGGTCGCCATCATAGACATTATGAGCTATAGATCGCCAAAAACTGAAGGTAGATCACCATACTAGGGACCATGTGAACTTACAGTACCTTTGCTACCTGCATGGACCCTAGCTGCTTTTACACTATCCCTTCAGCCATTGGTGATAGTACTCTAATTTAGCCGTTAATTAACAGAACAAATATACTTCCATTTAAAAAAACCTGGTACATGCAAGCATACTTTGAGAGACCTGGACTTACATCATACAGTACTTCAACCCCCGTCAGTTTCAACGTTAAGGTTTCAGTACTGTGTTGTCGATACGTTATTTGATGCACCAGTGGCTAAAATGATGTCAGAAGCAATGTTGCAATGAACAACTTACTCTAATTCGCATGCGTTTGGGGTGTTGTGGTGGGTAACATTTTGGGAAAGATGTTACTGCGGATATTGCAAATGAACACTACTTCTTTGTCTCAAACCATTTCGAAGAACGTTCACTGGAGAGTCAAGATGAAAACAAGAAATATAACCTTTCCCTGTAAATAGATGAGATTTCAGAATCCAAAAAACTTCCTTTGGTAAATACATATATTTACTATATGTGTTCATAACTCAAAAACACTGAAATATTACTGGATGTTTTATTATACCGAAGAATTATTCAAGATGCTGTAATATAAGGTACCTAGGAAAAGTTCATGCCACCGTATTTTCCCAAAGTTTTGGACTGTTTATCTGTCCTCCTTCGGGTGGACGTTGACGAAGTGCTAGATGGTTCACTGTTCCACCTTGAACTCCCTCATATCATACATGATAACATGACAGTCTATCGCTGACTGTCACTTACGAAACTACTATTCGAGACTGGATGGGTCATAAAGGTTTTTAACAATCTACTGATATTAATGCTGATAGAAAAAAGCACCGGGTGTCACTTACCTCTTTCACATGTTTGTCCAGTGAATCCGACCTTACATATACAACCGAAGCTGACTTTACCAGAAGCCTTCTCACAGATCCCTTCATTTGTACATGGTGAGCCAAGGCATGGATCTGTCGCTAAAACAGAAGGTATAGAAAATGTAAACATACATATTAACGCATTTTTAATCTATGACATATTTTGTGTCCTGCGAGCGCTGCACGGAGAAATATTTCAACTATAAAGAACGAGGCATTCATCGAAATAATATTATTGATTTCCACCGTCTGCATCATTTCTTCAAGAAACATCTCATAAAAATACCGATACTCTACTTTAAGACAATACAGCGATTATCAATACTTTTCCACCTCCTGGAGAACCTTCCATTTGGTTTTGTAGGGATGCATCATTTCTTCAAGAAACATCTCATAAAAATACCGATACTTTACTTTAAGACAATACAGCTATTATCAATACTTTTCCACCTCCTCGAGAACCTTCCATTTGGTTTTGTAGGGATGCTTACATAGCCTTGTGTCTCTAAATACGAATCTTCTGCTATTGCATTTTGCAGTTGTTGTATATCCCTACTTCGAGAGTCGAATCTGTTTTATCAACTTTCCAACTCGTGTATCATCATAGGCGATCTCAGGGGACACATCCCACTTTGGGAAAGTGTCAATATTAAAGACAAACCTTGCGGAACTTATTTTTAGACAATAGTTTAATTGATAACTCATCCAGTTATTTACACCCAGCTACTGGAACAAATATTTTACACTAGATCTGGCACACGCCGATCCACCTAGTATAATGAATTTGAATAGATGGACCATGGCTACCAATACGGGAAAGATCAATTCCCCACAATTCTCAAACCTTTCAACCTCGAACTACAACCAAATATGTTTACTACATGAGCTCAATAGCGCCTTAGAGCAAACTCGTGAAACAGCAACGGGGGCTAATAAAATACACTTCAAAGCTCTTGTTCAAAGTATTTACCTGAATCATGTCTGGAAACATATTTCTAGAAATATGGACTTCAGAGAATTATCCACGTTTGTGGCATAATGCCATTGTAGTGCTATACCAAAGCCTGGCTGGGATCATACTGGGATCGGTATCTGGAAACAAATAACTGAATTGCATGTATCGGAAGTAGTGTCCATATAATTATAAATAGTATAGTTGCAGTAGTCCTGCCTTGATGATACGTAGCAGTGGACTAGTAGTTTTGTCGCATCGGTGTCAAGGTACCGTCGGATCTTCCCGATGTTCCGCAGATGGATGTTCACTGTCCTGCATGTGTTCAGAGCTTGCTGGTCTGGTGACATGTAGTCTCAGTAAACATGACTCCGAGATTCTTCACCTTGTTGGCAGGGTGTATGTTCGAGTCACCAATAGTGAGTGGAGATGTTGTCACCTTGTTTAATTGCTCCCTGGGGCCTATAACCATATACTCCGTCTTGTCGTCATTCAATCTCAAAACGTTCACAGCCATCCATTTGCGAATAGGCACCCTTGAAGAGCCACCTCCTCGTGGTTGGTGCTGGGCAACGCTAAGCGCTCTTGTGGACCCGGGGGTATATTTGGTCCATCAACCCGTTTGCCGTGGGTTGCGCCCCTGTGTCGGTGGAGGACGGGAGTCTGGTGGTTGAGGGCACTGGTTCCAGGAACAGTGTTCCTCTGCCCAACACACCACTTCGCCCCTTACTTCACCTAGACGGGTGGTAGAACTGGCCCGGTTCTATCAATCAGCTGGTCACGCCAAGCCCAGTGCTACGTCTATGTACTATTGCACCAAACTTTGAGAATTATACAATGTCTTGGCGATGTTTTGGAACTCAGAATTTCAACTACACAATTTCATGTATGTTTTTGACTATGGCCCATCAGCCACCGCCTTCTTGGCATACGACTAATCTGGTAGAATAATTACTTCATATTATTCTGCTGGAGTATATCAACCGGGTATCCTTGGTGCTGCAAGTAGGAGGTCCACTTATTTTTAGCATTGTCCTTGTGATACCCCGTGGTGGGTGGGGAGCTGGGATGATGAATATATATACATTAACATGAATCCTGAAACCCCCTTGAAAAAGAAACGTCAGCTTGATACTGATGAAAGTACACCTGATAGTTGTAGACCATCTAAGCAAATAGAATACTGGCCAAGATGTCTAGTGATAGAATCTCCAGATATGAAACCAATTAAACTCATCCCGTGTGCTGTTTCTTAAGCAGTGTACTGTATAGCAGGTGACGTCAAAAATATCAAACGAATGAGATCTGGATCGTTACTCATAGAATGTAGCAAACGACAACAAGCGTCTAACCTACTGTCAGTTGATACATTGGCTGGATTCCCTGTTTCAGTGCCTCGTATCCTCAATTCTAGTAAAGGCATTGTCAGAGATAGTGATAATCTTTTAGAGGACATGACAGAACTTGATATCATGCTAGAACTCAAGGATCAAGGTGTCACGTACGTGAAACGATTTACAAGGCGTCAGGGCTCAGAAGTGGTACCAACCAACACGTACTTGTTCTCATTTGTGTCTCCATCAGCACCAAGATCAATAAAAGCAGGATATTGTTATCTTCAAGTTGAACTGTTTATTCATAATCCGTTGAGGTGTTTTAAATGCCAAAAATTTGGTCATGGGATAAGTTCATGGACAAACCCAATAACTTGCGCTCGTTTTTGGGAGCATTCACAAGTCACAGAAGACTGTACAAACAACTTTAAACAATGCGTCAACTGTTCGGGTAAGCATTCCTCGTCGTCAAAAGATTGCAAAGTTTGGAAGAGGGAAATGGAGGTGAATAAGGTAAAGCACAGTCATAACATCCGTTATGCTGAAGCTAAGAAACTTGTACCAACTGTCCACCCAGGTGAATCTTATGCTTCTATTACCAAAAGACCATCCACGACCACAGTTTCAGTCGATTGTCAGACAGAGCTGACATGGACTAATTCTACAACTCCTGTACTTGTCCCAAATCAAGAACTGTTAGTGCGAGGAGAATCTGCTACACAGACTGCTGACGTGTTACCAGCTACAGTGACCTCATCTCAATATATCTCTTCTTCCCAAAAGGGTCCCGCATGTCCAAAGACACAACCAGACACAAGAAGGTCCTACAGTCCCAAACCAAGACAAGATTCATGTCCATTGAAAACTGTACAAGAACCTCAGGTTAAACAAATTGTGAAAGGAAACCCCAAAATAAATAGACTCAACCAAAGCGATAGACTCGCTAAGGGTTCAAATGATGAGATCCAGATCTATAATAAGTTTGGAGTGAGTGAGGACATGGATGTGTCCGACCATAGCTCTGGTAGTCTTTCAAAGGTTTTAAGTGATTCAATCGATGGATCCCTTTTCGTGGATGATTCTAATATTTCTTGCCGTGGTAAAAACATGCGAACTATTGAGAGACAATTACAAAGTGGTCATGCCGTCTGATGATGCCACCAATTGGCGAAATGTACAGTGAGAACAACATTGGGCCTAGTACTGATCCTTGAGGCACGCCAGATTCTAAGTGATGTTTCTCGGATGTTGAACTATCTACTAACACCCTCATCACTCTCTCCGACGGTATGATCTAATCCAGTCTAAAGCAAATCCACTGATTCCCATTGAGTTTTCCAGTCTACTGAGGAGTATCTGGTGGTCGACTGTATCAAAGGCCGCTGACAGGTCGAGAAGCACGAGTAGTACCACCTCTTGTCGATCCATGCCCCTGAGGACTCTGGTGAGTAATGTATCTGTACTATGCCTGGTCCTGTAGGCTGACTGATACACCTCCATCAGGACTGACGAGATGTTCATTTAATCGTTTTATGACAAGTTTTTCCAAGATTTTGGATAGGAACTGTAGATTAGACACCGGGCGGTATATTGTCAGAATCTTTGAGTCAAGGCCAGGTTTCTTTAAAGTGGTCTGACCAGAGCTGCTTAGAAGTCTGTAGGCACCACAACCTAAGTCAATGACATGTTGAGGCGTGATGGTGTCCAGACAACGTGTTAGTGAGTGAGTGAGCTAAACATTACAGTCACATCGGCAATATTTCAGCCATATCGTAACTAAAACAAGTTTCAAAGTAACCATCTAAATTATAAAACACAGAATATCATAGTATTAAGAATAAAATAGCATATCTCTCTAAAATTGGACGTCGCATAAACACAAGACAGTATAAAAATGGGCTATAGATCGCCAACAACCTAAGGTAGATCACCATACTAGGGACCATGGGGACTTACAGTACCTTTGCTACCTGCATGGATCCAAGCTGGATTTACACCATCCCCTCAGCCGCTGCCGATTGTAGGAAACGTTTAGCCGAATTTAAAAAAAACAAATATACGACGTTTAAAATCTTAAATTTAACTTTGAAAGTTGTAGGACTTACGTACCCTCTTAATAGCACAATAATATTACAATACTTTTACCCCCTTTGAGGATACAGCCACTTACAATCTGAGTTACTAATCTTCCAATCATAAAATATTCATCTATTTACAAATCATTAACAAAATCTAAGACAACGTGTAGTAGCCACGTTGGTACTGGATCCAGTGGACAGGACTTCCCAGGTGAGTATTATATTATCCGTTTGACGTGGACATTCCGGTGCCCACAAAAGTTTTATCCTCACTGAGGAGATCCAGGAACAGCGAATGCCAGAGCCTCATATCGCAATCTGCTAACCTTGTCAGTGAAGAAGTCGGCCAGTGAATCAGCTTGTTCTTTCGACTGAACAGGAGTGTTGAGGTTTTGAACAGTCTTTGGTTTGGTAAGCCGATTAGTGATCTGTATTATATGTCTGGTATTGCCTTTGTTGTCCATAATGGTTCGTTTCAACTTTGCTATTTTAGCGTTCTGGGTAAGAATATTGACCTTATTCCTGGATGCCTGAAATATCATGTGTCTGTGGACTTCCAGTCCGGGTCACCGCCACTGACGTTCAGCTCTTCTGCGTGCGTGCTTCGCTCTGTCATCCAGCCGGTGTCAGGTCATCAGGCAAAAGCTGAAGAACTTGGTGCAAAGTTAGTTCATTCAGATTTCTCGTGCAACACGGCATGGATAAAGAGATTTAAGCAGCGGCGAGGTATCATTGCTAAATCATCACACGGGGAAAGTTCATCAGTCAACCCTGACCTCGTCAGTGATTGGTTAACTTCACAACTGCCTGGTTACCTCGAAAAGTACGAACCAAGTGACATCTTTAATGCTGATGAAACAGGACTTGTCTTTAAGTTAACGCCACAAAGAACTCTTCATTTAAAATCTGAGAAATGCAGTGGTGGTAAGAAGTCCAAAGAGCGGATAACTGTGTTAGTTGCAGCCAATATGACAGGAACTGAAAAAACTGCAATTGCTTGTGATTGACAAATCAGTAAAACCACGCTGTTTTAAGAATGTTCGGAGTATGCCTGTAACGTACAGTGCTAACAAAAAGGCATGGATGACCAGTGAGATTTTCACCGAATGGGTCCGAGCCTTCGACAAGTCTATGGCCAAACAGAAAAGAAAGATTGCCTTATTCATTGACAACTGTCCTGCGTACCCACCCGTGTCGAAGCTAACGAACGTTGAACTTGTGTTTCTTCCACCGAACACAACATCAAAGATTCAACCTATGGACCAGGGTATCATCGCGAACCTAAACAGCTGTACAGACGCCAAGTCATGAAAGGAATGCTGACAGCATTCGACAACAAGCAACAGCATGAGATCACCATCCTGACAGCGATCGAAATGATACACAGAGCCTTACGTCAAGTGACAGCATCGTGTATCGTAAACTGTTTTCGGAAAGGTGGCTTTCTCAATGCCGATATACATGTAGCTGACGACACTGATGATGAGAAGGATGAATTGCCATTGTCTGACTTGAGAAATCTGTGGAGTGAACTGAAAAAAAGTGTCTGACATTTCCAGCGATGTCACCCTTGACGACTTCATCTCAGCAGACAATGACATTGTCATTACAGAACGCCCCTCTGATGACGACATTGTGAAGGCCGTTTCCGATCAGCGCGATGATGTCCCGAACTGATTCCGAATGAGAAGATGACGACATGAACAGTGATGAAAAAGACCAGGCCCCTCTTTCGTTTGCTGATGCCAATATGGCGCTTCAAACATTGAAGAACTTTCTAGTTTCACAGAAGACAACTTATACGTCTTCATTTGATTTACTTGCCGAATTGAATGAGGCTGTAGCACGTATGCAGTCGGCCAAGCGTGGACAAAGTAACATCACAGACTTTGTAGTGAAATGAATGTAACTGCCGTATGAATGAATGAATAAACTGAGTAGGAATGTATCGTACTGTCTTTATCGTTCTTTCAATGGAATGTCGTGAATAGCGAACTACGGATATAACAGACTAATTTCAGTGGTCCCTTGGAGTTCGTTATAAAGGTATTATTCACATTTAAATGTTTACTTCATGTTGAACACTACTTCGCCGCCTGAAAACCAGAGTGTTCTAAGTCCACTTTTGACAAAATTAGAGTTAGTATGCTCAGGGTAGGTTTTAGAGCATAATCTATTACTCTAGCAACTTTTTACAGTGCTATCCAGCTTTGAAAGTGGTTTGTCAAACAGAAACTTTGTTCTATCTCCATGAAAATCACATGTTGTTAATTTTCGAGTGTTCTAAGTTGTCAATTGACCAATGGGCAAGCACAATTTGATCACGTGGCATTGAGCTTTACCAATTTTGAAGTGATTGTCATCATGCAAATGGAACATTTTAACTCTGTTCTTATTTCTGCTTAATCTAATTAAATATAGTCTTTATGAAAGAAAAACAGGTTTAATACAACCTGGTAAAAAGGAAATAACAATCAAATATCGATATAATAATAATAAAGCTGAGTTTTAGCTGTGTTTTTTGACACTTAGAACACTTTGGTTTTGAGAAAAAGCACGATTTTCTTTGGTCTAGTGTTCTATCTCCAATCATTTCAATAGATTGAGCATATAATTTTATATCTTCTGATCCTGTTTAACATGTCACATGCATGTGCAAAATTTGAAAGAATCCGATTGAAAAGTGAAGAAGATATTGTCCTAAACTTCAAGATTGAATTTCTCGAAAATAGGTTTTTGTGACTTAGTACACTCTGGTTTTCAGGCGACGACTTGTCCTTACTTCCTACTCTATCAACGGAAAGTTATAACGGTGCCCCGTGTAACAACTTTAAGCTAGCAGTGGAAACCGGTCGGCACACAACACACCCTATGATCAACGTCTCTGACATCACTGCCACTCTGTTGGCCTAAACTATGTTGAAGAGCTCTACTTAACTGTGGCAAATATGTATACATAAGAAACTGTTTCACAACCCATCAGACTGGGTCTCCAACAATTGAAAACTTTTTGCGTTTAATTATCTGTAGCAAAATTAATGAAAATAAAACATTAGTGAGTGAGTGAGTTAAAATTTAAGTCACATCGGCAGTATTTCAGCCATATTGTGACTATATCAAATTATATATTTATAATAATTATAGTAAATTATAAAAACCTGTCAATGAAGGACAGTAAAACACCTTGTTTATCACAGATGTAAATTAAAAACTAGTAATTAATTTTGAAACATTTTAATTATACAATATGAAAGCAGGCTATAGATTGCCAAAAACTGAACGTAGATCACCGTACTTGGAACCATGGGGACTTACAGTACATTTGCTTCCTGCATGGACCCTACCCAGATTTACACCATCCCTTCAGCTGTTAGCAATTTTAGATAAACTAGCCATAAGTTAAAATAACACATATGCCACGATTAAAAATAGAAGTAGGTTTAAATTCACATTGAATGGAAAACAGAACATTAAACACATTCCTCACCACTGTATTAACATTTAGAAGTAAATCCACCATTATAAAATATTAATCTTGAATTTCAATGTTCACCCTACACTCAGCATGCATATATTATTTATATTCGCATTTGGTTTGTATTATGGGCCAATGGCCTGCATTTATTGAATTAAAATGTCTGTCTGTCTTATATAATGATCTTGCGACACACCATTACGACATCGTCTTTGGTTGTTTAACTAGCCATGTTGGAATTTAGGTGAACACAATGGCTGATACTGATGCGAAGGCAGGACTTAACAGATCTGTGACACCATTTCTCACCCCTTACAGAATATAAATTTACAACTAGCAGCTGCATCAGGGATTTAATGCAGTCGGGGACGCTTGAGTGGATACAAATATGTTACATAAAAAAGCCAACTATCGGTTATACCTACTTTGGTCCTATTTTGTATCGTTCTGTATAGTGAATGAAACAATATTCACCAGTGCGACATTAACCAAATACATGATACGTTTTATGGATAACAACTTCTTTTTTATGTTTATATGACGTTTCAGCGCTAACTCTTGCTCCTTCGTCAGGTGAAACGTCGTATAAATCATAAAAAGAAGTTGTTACCCAAAAAACCTGGCATGTGTTCGGAATGCCTTTCAAGAATTACACTAACTAAGGTGTTGCAGCATGATGCTTCTATACCTTACCTGCACATGTGCTTCCATCTCCTTCAAATCCATCAGAACAAGTGCAGGTGTATGATCCTGCAGTGTTGGTACACACAGCGTTGGCATCACATGGACTTTTCTTTTCATCGCACTCATTCTTATCTTAAAAATACAGATATCTTTCATTTAAGAATGTACAGCGATTATCAAGAATTTTCCAACTCTAGGAGGAGCTTCCATTTGGTTCAACAGGGAATCTTCAGCTGTTGCCGTACGTCTAACACTGTATATTGCAAACAGTGGCACGACTTATCATAAGTACCAGCTGATATACTGCTTAAAAGGAAATTGCTTACTTTGTTGTGTGAAATCGCTTTTCATATTGTTTTGTTTAAATATCAATAACACCACACAGAAACAACAGATAAAGATCGTCACATCATGTATAGCTAAAAAAACGTTTTGCCAAAGTTGACTGACCCTGCAGAAGCTCGTAATTATCCCAGGTTCCACACACCCCAAAAATGATGAATAAAGAGAGCATAAGTAAGGGACGTTTGTACTTCGAGAGTTCCTAGAGCTCGACACAGTGGCGTTTGTCTGCAGTTTTCGACCGAAGAATTAACAACATAAACATTAAGATAATATATTTCAATCGTACCTTTGATTTCTGATATCAAATGAACATGTGTAACATTCATCTCTGACATTAGGTAATATCAGGATTTAATTGTGTATGCTGGAGCCGCATTTTAGCTTGCCATCTTTGTGTGTCATATGTGTGTAATGTTATAGTATATGACTATCACGGGAAATATATGCCTTGAGAAATCAGAAGTAGTTTCATACGTTGAGGTATTTGCCGCGCCTGAAACTAATCACCTATGTGTCTGAAGTCATACGTTTGTTTGTGAATCGCCAACACCTGGAGCAATAATGTAACTTCATCTAAGGTCCACGGAACTTGCCTTCAGTTATTGAGTGAGTTCTCATGGTCCCAAGTGTGGTAGTCTACCTTCACCTGCTGGTGAGATATGGCCATTTTTTCTATGGTTCCGTATAGTGATTGGAACACTGATTCACTGATGCTTCAGTACAGTAACTAAATACATGACACATTTTTTATACATAACAGCTTCATTTTTTATTATTTATACCACGTTTCAGAGCTAACTTTTGCTTTAAATTCACGAAGGTAGCAGTGAATGAGTTCCTATGGTCCCAGATGTGGTGGTCTACCTTCACCTGCTGGTGAGATATGCCCTAGTTTGTATCGTTCTGTTTAGTGATTGAAACAATGATTCACCAGTGCGACATTAGCTAAATACATGATACGTTTTATGGATAACAATTTCTTTTAATATTTATACGACGTTTCAGAGCTAACTCTTGCTCCTTCGTCAGGTGAAATGTCGTATAAAGAATATAAAGAATTTGTTATCCAAAAACCCTGGCAAATATTCATGTTCGTCCAACTTCTGAATGACTTTCAAGAACTACAGTATGAGGTGTTGCAGCATGCCGCTTCTATACCTTACCTGCACAGGTGGTTCCATCTCCTTCAAATCCATCAGAACAAGTGCAGGTGTATGATCCTTCAGTGTTGGTACACACAGCGTTGGCATCACATGGACTTTTCTTTTCATCGCACTCATTCTTATCTTAAAAATACAGATATCTTTCATTTAAGAAAGTACAGCGATTATCAAGAATTTTCCAACTCTAGGAGGAGCGTCCATTTGGTTCGACAGGGATTGATGCAAAGCCCTGTTTCTCTAAATACGAATCTTCTGCTGTTGCCGTACGTCTAACACTGTATATTGCAAACAGTGGCACGACTTATCATAAGTGCCAGCTGATATACTGCTTAAAAGGAAATTGCTTACTTTGTTGCGTGAAATCGCTTTTCACATTGTTTTGTTTACATATCAATAACACCACACAGAAACAACATATAAAGATCGTCACCTCATGTACAGCTAAAAAGGACGATTTGCCAAAGATGACTGACCCTGCAGAAGCTCGTAATTATCCCAGGTTCCACACACACCCCAAAAATGATGAAAAAGGAGAGCAAAAGTAAGGGCCGTTTTTACTTCGAGAGTCCCTAAAGCTCGACACAGTGGCGTTTGTCTGTAGTTTTCGACCGAATAATGAACAACATAAACATTAACATAATATATTTCAATCGTACCTTTGATTTCTAATATCAACTGAACATGTTAGGTAATATCAGGATTTAATTGTGTATGCTGGAGCCGCATTTTAGCTTGCCATCTTTGTGTGTCATATGTGTGTAATGTTATAGTATATGAATATCACGGGAAATATATGCCTTGAGAAATCAGAAGTAGTTTCATACATTGAGGTATTTGCCGCGCCTGACACTAATCAGCTATGTGTCTGAAGTCATAAGTTTGTTTGTTAATCGCCAACACCTGGAGCAATGATGTAACTTCATCTAAGGTCCACTGAACTTGCCCTCAGTGAGTGAGTGAGTTCTCATGGTCCCAAGTGTGGTAGTCTACCTTCACCTGCTGGTGAGATATGGCCATTTTTGTCTATGGTTCCGTATAGTGATCGGAACACTGATTCACTGATGCTACAGTACAGTAACTAAATACATGACGCATTTTGTATGCATAACAACTTCTGTTTTATTGTTTATACCTCGTTTCAGAGCTAACGTTTGCCTTAAATTCACGAAGTAAGTGAGTGAGTGAGTTTAGTTTTACGCCGCACTCAGCAATATCCCAGCTATATGGCGGCGGTATGTAAATAATCGAGTCTGGACCAGACAATCCAGTAATCAACATCATGAGCATCGATCTGCGCAATTGGGAACCGATGACATGTGTCAACCAAGTCAGCGAAACTGACCACCCAATCCCGTTAGTCGCCTTTTCCGACAAGCAAAGTCACTTTTTATGGCAAGCACATGGGTTGCTGAAGACCTATTCTACCCCGGATCTTCACGGGTCCTTAAATTCACGAAGAGTCCACGAAGGTAGCAGTGAATGAGTGAATGAGTTCCTATGGTCCCGGATGTGGTGGTCTACCTTCACCTGCTGGTGAGATATGCCCTATTTTGTATGGTTTTGTATAGTGATTGAAACAATGATTCACCAGTGCGACATTAACTAAATACATGATTCGTTTTATGGATAACAATTTCTTTTAATATTTATACGACGTTTCAGAGCTAACTCTTGCTCCTTCGTCAGGTGAAATGTCGTATAAAGAATATAAAGAATTTGTTATCCAAAAACCCTGGCATATATTCATGTTCGTCCAACTTCTGAATGACTTTCAAGAACTACAGTATGAGGTGTTGCAGCATGCCGCTTCTATACCTTACCTGCACAGGTGGTTCCATCTCCTTCAAATCCATCAGAACAAGTGCAGGTGTATGATCCTTCAGTGTTGGTACACACAGCGTTGGCATCACATGGACTTTTCTTTTCATCGCACTCATTCTTATCTTAAAAATACAGATATCTTTCATTTAAGAAAGTACAGCGATTATCAAGAATTTTCCAACTCTAGGAGGAGCGTCCATTTGGTTCGACAGGGATTGATGCAAAGCCCTGTTTCTCTAAATACGAATCTTCTGCTGTTGCCGTACGTCTAACACTGTATATTGCAAACAGTGGCACGACTTATCATAAGTGCCAGCTGATATACTGCTTAAAAGGAAATTGCTTACTTTGTTGCGTGAAATCGCTTTTCACATTGTTTTGTTTACATATCAATAACACCACACAGAAACAACATATAATTATCATCTCATGTACAGCTAAAAAAGACGATTTGCCAAAGATGACTGACCCTGCGGAAGCTCGTAATTATCCCAGGTTCCACACACACCCCAAAAATGATGAAAAAGGAGAGCAAAAGTAAGGGCCGTTTTTACTTCGAGAGTCCCGAAAGCTCGACACAGTGGCGTTTGTCTGTAGTTTTCGACCGAATAATGAACAACATACATATTAACATAATATATTTCAATCGTACCTTTGATTTCTAATATCAACTGAACATGTTAGGTAATATCAGGATTTAATTGTGTATGCTGGAGCCGCATTATAGCTTGCCATCTTTGTGTGTCATATGTGTGTAATGTTATAGTATATGAATATCACGGGAAATATATGCCTTGAGAAATCAGAAGTAGTTTCATACGTTGAGGTATTTGCCGCGCCTGACACTAATCAGCTATGTGTCTGAAGTCATAAGTTTGTTTGTTAATCGCCAACACCTGGAGCAATGATGTAACTTCATCTAAGGTCCACTGAACTTGCCCTCAGTGAGTGAGTGAGTTCTCATGGTCCCAAGTGTGGTAGTCTACCTTCACCTGCTGGTGAGATATGGCCATTTTTGTCTATGGTTCCGTATAGTGATCGGAACACTGATTCACTGATGCTACAGTACAGTAACTAAATACATGACGCATTTTTTATGCATAACAACTTCTGTTTTATTGTTTATACCTCGCTTCAGAGCTAACGTTTGCCTTAAATTCACGAAGTGAGTGAGTGAGTGAGTTTAGTTTTACGCCGCACTCAGCAATATCCCAGCTATATGGCGGCGGTATGTAAATAATCGAGTCTGGACCAGACAATCCAGTAATCAACATCATGAGCATCGATCTGCGCAATTGGGAACCGATGACATGTGTCAACCAAGTCAGCGAAACTGACCACCCAATCCCGTTAGTCGCCTTTTCCGACAAGCAAAGTCACTTTTTATGGCAAGCACATGGGTTGCTGAAGACCTATTCTACCCCGGATCTTCACGGGTCCTTAAATTCACGAAGAGTCCACGAAGGTAGCAGTGAATGAGTGAATGAGTTCCTATGGTCCCGGATGTGGTGGTCTACCTTCACCTGCTGGTGAGATATGCCCTATTTTGTATGGTTTTGTATAGTGATTGAAACAATGATTCACCAGTGCGACATTAACTAAATACATGATTCGTTTTATGGATAACAATTTCTTTTAATATTTATACGACGTTTCAGAGCTAACTCTTGCTCCTTCGTCAGGTGAAATGTCGTATAAAGAATATAAAGAATTTGTTATCCAAAACCCTGGCATATATTCATGTTCGTCCAACTTCTGAATGACTTTCAAGAACTACAGTATGAGGTGTTGCAGCATGCCGCTTCTATACCTTACCTGCACAGGTGGTTCCATCTCCTTCAAATCCATCAGAACAAGTGCAGGTGTATGATCCTTCAGTGTTGGTACACACAGCGTTGGCATCACATGGACTTTTCTTTTCATCGCACTCATTCTTATCTTAAAAATACAGATATCTTTCATTTAAGAAAGTACAGCGATTATCAAGAATTTTCCAACTCTAGGAGGAGCGTCCATTTGGTTCAACAGGGATTGATGCAAAGCCCTGTTTCTCTAAATACGAATCTTCTGCTGTTGCCGTACGTCTAACACTGTATATTGCAAACAGTGGCACGACTTATCATAAGTGCCAGCTGATATACTGCTAAAAGGAAATTGCTTACTTTGTTGCGTGAAATCGCTTTTCACATTGTTTTGTTTACATATCAATAACACCACACAGAAACAACATATAAAGATCGTCACCTCATGTACAGCTAAAAAAGACGATTTGCCAAAGATGACTGACCCTGCGGAAGCTCGTAATTATCCCAGGTTCCACACACACCCCAAAAATGATGAAAAAGGAGAGCAAAAGTAAGGGCCGTTTTTACTTCCGCATTTTAGCTTGCCATCTTTGTGTGTCATATGTGTGTAATGTTATAGTATATGAATATCACGGGAAATATATGCCTTGAGAAATCAGAAGTAGTTTCATACGTTGAGGTATTTGCCGCGCCTGACACTAATCAGCTATGTGTCTGAAGTCATAAGTTTGTTTGTTAATCGCCAACACCTGGAGCAATGATGTAACTTCATCTAAGGTCCACTGAACTTGCCCTCAGTGAGTGAGTGAGTTCTCATGGTCCCAAGTGTGGTAGTCTACCTTCACCTGCTGGTGAGATATGGCCATTTTTGTCTATGGTTCCGTATAGTGATCGGAACACTGATTCACTGATGCTACAGTACAGTAACTAAATACATGACGCATTTTTTTATGCATAACAACTTCTGTTTTATTGTTTATACCTCGTTTCAGAGCTAACGTTTGCCTTAAATTCACGAAGTGAGTGAGTGAGTGAGTTTAGTTTTACGCCGCACTCAGCAATATCCCAGCTATATGGCGGCGGTATGTAAATAATCGAGTCTGGACCAGACAATCCAGTAATCAACATCATGAGCATCGATCTGCGCAATTGGGAACCGATGACATGTGTCAACCAAGTCAGCGAAACTGACCACCCAATCCCGTTAGTCGCCTTTTCCGACAAGCAAAGTCACTCTTTATGGCAAGCACATGGGTTGCTGAAGACCTATTCTACCCCGGATCTTCACGGGTCCTTAAATTCACGAAGAGTCCACGAAGGTAGCAGTGAATGAGTTCCTATGGTCCCGGATGTGGTGGTCTACCTTCACCTGCTGGTGAGATATGCCCTATTTTGTATGGTTTTGTATAGTGATTGAAACAATGATTCACCAGTGCGACATTAACTAAATACATGATTCGTTTTATGGATAACAATTTCTTTTAATATTTATACGACGTTTCAGAGCTAACTCTTGCTCCTTCGTCAGGTGAAATGTCGTATAAAGAATATAAAGAATTTGTTATCCAAAAACCCTGGCATATATTCATGTTCGTCCAACTTCTGAATGACTTTCAAGAACTACAGTATGAGGTGTTGCAGCATGCCGCTTCTATACCTTACCTGCACAGGTGGTTCCATCTCCTTCAAATCCATCAGAACAAGTGCAGGTGTATGATCCTTCAGTGTTGGTACACACAGCGTTGGCATCACATGGACTTTTCTTTTCATCGCACTCATTCTTATCTTAAAAATACAGATATCTTTCATTTAAGAAAGTACAGCGATTATCAAGAATTTTCCAACTCTAGGAGGAGCGTCCATTTGGTTCGACAGGGATTGATGCAAAGCCCTGTTTCTCTAAATACGAATCTTCTGCTGTTGCCGTACGTCTAACACTGTATATTGCAAACAGTGGCACGACTTATCATAAGTGCCAGCTGATATACTGCTTAAAAGGAAATTGCTTACTTTGTTGCGTGAAATCGCTTTTCACATTGTTTTGTTTACATATCAATAACACCACACAGAAACAACATATAAAGATCGTCACCTCATGTACAGCTAAAAAGACGATTTGCCAAAGATGACTGACCCTGCGGAAGCTCGTAATTATCCCAGGTTCCCACACACCCCAAAAATGATGAAAAAGGAGAGCAAAAGTAAGGGCCGTTTTTACTTCGAGAGTCCCTAAAGCTCGACACAGTGGCGTTTGTCTGTAGTTTTCGACCGAATAATGAACAACATAAACATTAACATAATATATTTCAATCGTACCTTTGATTTCTAATATCAACTGAACATGTTAGGTAATATCAGGATTTAATTGTGTATGCTGGAGCCGCATTTTAGCTTGCCATCTTTGTGTGTCATATGTGTGTAATGTTATAGTATATGAATATCACGGGAAATATATGCCTTGAGAAATCAGAAGTAGTTTCATACGTTTGAGGTATTTGCCGCGCCTGACACTAATCAGCTATGTGTCTGAAGTCATAAGTTTGTTTGTTAATCGCCAACACCTGGAGCAATGATGTAACTTCATCTAAGGTCCACTGAACTTGCCCTCAGTGAGTGAGTGAGTTCTCATGGTCCCAAGTGTGGTAGTCTACCTTCACCTGCTGGTGAGATATGGCCATTTTTGTCTATGGTTCCGTATAGTGATCGGAACACTGATTCACTGATGCTACAGTACAGTAACTAAATACATGACGCATTTTTTATGCATAACAACTTCTGTTTTATTGTTTATACCTCGTTTCAGAGCTAACGTTTGCCTTAAATTCACGAAGTGAGTGAGTGAGTGAGTTTAGTTTTACGCCGCACTCAGCAATATCCCAGCTATATGGCGGCGGTATGTAAATAATCGAGTCTGGACCAGACAATCCAGTAATCAACATCATGAGCATCGATCTGCGCAATTGGGAACCGATGACATGTGTCAACCAAGTCAGCGAAACTGACCACCCAATCCCGTTAGTCGCCTTTTCCGACAAGCAAAGTCACTTTTATGGCAAGCACATGGGTTGCTGAAGACCTATTCTACCCCGGATCTTCACGGGTCCTTAAATTCACGAAGAGTCCACGAAGGTAGCAGTGAATGAGTGAATGAGTTCCTATGGTCCCGGATGTGGTGGTCTACCTTCACCTGCTGGTGAGATATGCCCTATTTTGTATGGTTTTGTATAGTGATTGAAACAATGATTCACCAGTGCGACATTAACTAAATACATGATTCGTTTTATGGATAACAATTTCTTTTAATATTTATACGACGTTTCAGAGCTAACTCTTGCTCCTTCGTCAGGTGAAATGTCGTATAAAGAATATAAAGAATTTGTTATCCAAAACCCTGGCATATATTCATGTTCGTCCAACTTCTGAATGACTTTCAAGAACTACAGTATGAGGTGTTGCAGCATGCCGCTTCTATACCTTACCTGCACAGGTGGTTCCATCTCCTTCAAATCCATCAGAACAAGTGCAGGTGTATGATCCTTCAGTGTTGGTACACACAGCGTTGGCATCACATGGACTTTTCTTTTCATCGCACTCATTCTTATCTTAAAAATACAGATATCTTTCATTTAAGAAAGTACAGCGATTATCAAGAATTTTCCAACTCTAGGAGGAGCGTCCATTTGGTTCGACAGGGATTGATGCAAAGCCCTGTTTCTCTAAATACGAATCTTCTGCTGTTGCCGTACGTCTAACACTGTATATTGCAAACAGTGGCACGACTTATCATAAGTGCCAGCTGATATACTGCTAAAAAGGAAATTGCTTACTTTGTTGCGTGAAATCGCTTTTCACATTGTTTTGTTTACATATCAATAACACCACACAGAAACAACATATAAAGATCGTCACCTCATGTACAGCTAAAAAAGACGATTTGCCAAAGATGACTGACCCTGCGGAAGCTCGTAATTATCCCAGGTTCCACACACACCCCAAAAATGATGAAAAGGAGAGCAAAAGTAAGGGCCGTTTTTACTTCCGCATTTTAGCTTGCCATCTTTGTGTGTCATATGTGTGTAATGTTATAGTATATGAATATCACGGGAAATATATGCCTTGAGAAATCAGAAGTAGTTTCATACGTTGAGGTATTTGCCGCGCCTGACACTAATCAGCTATGTGTCTGAAGTCATAAGTTTGTTTGTTAATCGCCAACACCTGGAGCAATGATGTAACTTCATCTAAGGTCCACTGAACTTGCCCTCAGTGAGTGAGTGAGTTCTCATGGTCCCAAGTGTGGTAGTCTACCTTCACCTGCTGGTGAGATATGGCCATTTTGTCTATGGTTCCGTATAGTGATCGGAACACTGATTCACTGATGCTACAGTACAGTAACTAAATACATGACGCATTTTTTATGCATAACAACTTCTGTTTTATTGTTTATACCTCGTTTCAGAGCTAACGTTTGCCTTAAATTCACGAAGTGAGTGAGTGAGTGAGTTTAGTTTTACGCCGCACTCAGCAATATCCCAGCTATATGGCGGCGGTATGTAAATAATCGAGTCTGGACCAGACAATCCAGTAATCAACATCATGAGCATCGATCTGCGCAATTGGGAACCGATGACATGTGTCAACCAAGTCAGCGAAACTGACCACCCAATCCCGTTAGTCGCCTTTTCCGACAAGCAAAGTCACTCTTTATGGCAAGCACATGGGTTGCTGAAGACCTATTCTACCCCGGATCTTCACGGGTCCTTAAATTCACGAAGAGTCCACGAAGGTAGCAGTGAATGAGTGAATGAGTTCCTATGGTCCCGGATGTGGTGGTCTACCTTCACCTGCTGGTGAGATATGCCCTATTTTGTATGGTTTTGTATAGTGATTGAAACAATGATTCACCAGTGCGACATTAACTAAATACATGATTCGTTTTATGGATAACAATTTCTTTTAATATTTATACGACGTTTCAGAGCTAACTCTTGCTCCTTCGTCAGGTGAAATGTCGTATAAAGAATATAAAGAATTTGTTATCCAAAACCCTGGCATATATTCATGTTCGTCCAACTTCTGAATGACTTTCAAGAACTACAGTATGAGGTGTTGCAGCATGCCGCTTCTATACCTTACCTGCACAGGTGGTTCCATCTCCTTCAAATCCATCAGAACAAGTGCAGGTGTATGATCCTTCAGTGTTGGTACACACAGCGTTGGCATCACATGGACTTTTCTTTTCATCGCACTCATTCTTATCTTAAAAATACAGATATCTTTCATTTAAGAAAGTACAGCGATTATCAAGAATTTTCCAACTCTAGGAGGAGCGTCCATTTGGTTCGACAGGGATTGATGCAAAGCCCTGTTTCTCTAACTACGAATCTTCTGCTGTTGCCGTACGTCTAACACTGTATATTGCAAACAGTGGCACGACTTATCATAAGTGCCAGCTGATATACTGCTAAAAAGGAAATTGCTTACTTTGTTGCGTGAAATCGCTTTTCACATTGTTTTGTTTACATATCAATAACACCACACAGAAACAACATATAAAGATCGTCACCTCATGTACAGCTAAAAAAGACGATTTGCCAAAGATGACTGACCCTGCGGAAGCTCGTAATTATCCCAGGTTCCACACACACCCCAAAAATGATGAAAAAGGAGAGCAAAAGTAAGGGCCGTTTTTACTTCCGCATTTTAGCTTGCCATCTTTGTGTGTCATATGTGTGTAATGTTATAGTATATGAATATCACGGGAAATATATGCCTTGAGAAATCAGAAGTAGTTTCATACGTTGAGGTATTTGCCGCGCCTGACACTAATCAGCTATGTGTCTGAAGTCATAAGTTTGTTTGTTAATCGCCAACACCTGGAGCAATGATGTAACTTCATCTAAGGTCCACTGAACTTGCCCTCAGTGAGTGAGTGAGTTCTCATGGTCCCAAGTGTGGTAGTCTACCTTCACCTGCTGGTGAGATATGGCCATTTTGTCTATGGTTCCGTATAGTGATCGGAACACTGATTCACTGATGCTACAGTACAGTAACTAAATACATGACGCATTTTTTATGCATAACAACTTCTGTTTTATTGTTTATACCTCGTTTCAGAGCTAACGTTTGCCTTAAATTCACGAAGTGAGTGAGTGAGTGAGTTTAGTTTTACGCCGCACTCAGCAATATCCCAGCTATATGGCGGCGGTATGTAAATAATCGAGTCTGGACCAGACAATCCAGTAATCAACATCATGAGCATCGATCTGCGCAATTGGGAACCGATGACATGTGTCAACCAAGTCAGCGAAACTGACCACCCAATCCCGTTAGTCGCCTTTTCCGACAAGCAAAGTCACTCTTTATGGCAAGCACATGGGTTGCTGAAGACCTATTCTACCCCGGATCTTCACGGGTCCTTAAATTCACGAAGAGTCCACGAAGGTAGCAGTGAATGAGTGAATGAGTTCCTATGGTCCCGGATGTGGTGGTCTACCTTCACCTGCTGGTGAGATATGCCCTATTTTGTATGGTTTTGTATAGTGATTGAAACAATGATTCACCAGTGCGACATTAACTAAATACATGATTCGTTTTATGGATAACAATTTCTTTTAATATTTATACGACGTTTCAGAGCTAACTCTTGCTCCTTCGTCAGGTGAAATGTCGTATAAAGAATATAAAGAATTTGTTATCCAAAAACCCTGGCATATATTCATGTTCGTCCAACTTCTGAATGACTTTCAAGAACTACAGTATGAGGTGTTGCAGCATGCCGCTTCTATACCTTACCTGCACAGGTGGTTCCATCTCCTTCAAATCCATCAGAACAAGTGCAGGTGTATGATCCTTCAGTGTTGGTACACACAGCGTTGGCATCACATGGACTTTTCTTTTCATCGCACTCATTCTTATCTTAAAAATACAGATATCTTTCATTTAAGAAAGTACAGCGATTATCAAGAATTTTCCAACTCTAGGAGGAGCGTCCATTTGGTTCGACAGGGATTGATGCAAAGCCCTGTTTCTCTAACTACGAATCTTCTGCTGTTGCCGTACGTCTAACACTGTATATTGCAAACAGTGGCACGACTTATCATAAGTGCCAGCTGATATACTGCTAAAAAAGGAAATTGCTTACTTTGTTGCGTGAAATCGCTTTTCACATTGTTTTGTTTACATATCAATAACACCACACAGAAACAACATATAAAGATCGTCACCTCATGTACAGCTAAAAAAGACGATTTGCCAAAGATGACTGACCCTGCGGAAGCTCGTAATTATCCCAGGTTCCACACACACCCCAAAAATGATGAAAAGGAGAGCAAAAGTAAGATTTAATTGTGTATTTTTACTTCCGCATTTTAGCTTGCCATCTTTGTGTGTCATATGTGTGTAATGTTATAGTATATGAATATCACGGGAAATATATGCCTTGAGAAATCAGAAGTAGTTTCATACGTTGAGGTATTTGCCGCGCCTGACACTAATCAGCTATGTGTCTGAAGTCATAAGTTTGTTTGTTAATCGCCAACACCTGGAGCAATGATGTAACTTCATCTAAGGTCCACTGAACTTGCCCTCAGTGAGTGAGTGAGTTCTCATGGTCCCAAGTGTGGTAGTCTACCTTCACCTGCTGGTGAGATATGGCCATTTTTGTCTATGGTTCCGTATAGTGATCGGAACACTGATTCACTGATGCTACAGTACAGTAACTAAATACATGACGCATTTTTTATGCATAACAACTTCTGTTTTATTGTTTATACCTCGTTTCAGAGCTAACGTTTGCCTTAAATTCACGAAGTGAGTGAGTGAGTGAGTTTAGTTTTACGCCGCACTCAGCAATATCCCAGCTATATGGCGGCGGTATGTAAATAATCGAGTCTGGACCAGACAATCCAGTAATCAACATCATGAGCATCGATCTGCGCAATTGGGAACCGATGACATGTGTCAACCAAGTCAGCGAAACTGACCACCCAATCCCGTTAGTCGCCTTTTCCGACAAGCAAAGTCACTCTTTATGGCAAGCACATGGGTTGCTGAAGACCTATTCTACCCCGGATCTTCACGGGTCCTTAAATTCACGAAGAGTCCACGAAGGTAGCAGTGAATGAGTGAATGAGTTCCTATGGTCCCGGATGTGGTGGTCTACCTTCACCTGCTGGTGAGATATGCCCTATTTTGTATGGTTTTGTATAGTGATTGAAACAATGATTCACCAGTGCGACATTAACTAAATACATGATTCGTTTTATGGATAACAATTTCTTTTAATATTTATACGACGTTTCAGAGCTAACTCTTGCTCCTTCGTCAGGTGAAATGTCGTATAAAGAATATAAAGAATTTGTTATCCAAAACCCTGGCATATATTCATGTTCGTCCAACTTCTGAATGACTTTCAAGAACTACAGTATGAGGTGTTGCAGCATGCCGCTTCTATACCTTACCTGCACAGGTGGTTCCATCTCCTTCAAATCCATCAGAACAAGTGCAGGTGTATGATCCTTCAGTGTTGGTACACACAGCGTTGGCATCACATGGACTTTTCTTTTCATCGCACTCATTCTTATCTTAAAAATACAGATATCTTTCATTTAAGAAAGTACAGCGATTATCAAGAATTTTCCAACTCTAGGAGGAGCGTCCATTTGGTTCGACAGGGATTGATGCAAAGCCCTGTTTCTCTAACTACGAATCTTCTGCTGTTGCCGTACGTCTAACACTGTATATTGCAAACAGTGGCACGACTTATCATAAGTGCCAGCTGATATACTGCTAAAAAGGAAATTGCTTACTTTGTTGCGTGAAATCGCTTTTCACATTGTTTTGTTTACATATCAATAACACCACACAGAAACAACATATAAAGATCGTCACCTCATGTACAGCTAAAAAAGACGATTTGCCAAAGATGACTGACCCTGCGGAAGCTCGTAATTATCCCAGGTTCCACACACACCCCAAAAATGATGAAAAAGGAGAGCAAAAGTAAGGGCCGTTTTTACTTCCGCATTTTAGCTTGCCATCTTTGTGTGTCATATGTGTGTAATGTTATAGTATATGAATATCACGGGAAATATATGCCTTGAGAAATCAGAAGTAGTTTCATACGTTGAGGTATTTGCCGCGCCTGACACTAATCAGCTATGTGTCTGAAGTCATAAGTTTGTTTGTTAATCGCCAACACCTGGAGCAATGATGTAACTTCATCTAAGGTCCACTGAACTTGCCCTCAGTGAGTGAGTGAGTTCTCATGGTCCCAAGTGTGGTAGTCTACCTTCACCTGCTGGTGAGATATGGCCATTTTGTCTATGGTTCCGTATAGTGATCGGAACACTGATTCACTGATGCTACAGTACAGTAACTAAATACATGACGCATTTTTTATGCATAACAACTTCTGTTTTATTGTTTATACCTCGTTTCAGAGCTAACGTTTGCCTTAAATTCACGAAGTGAGTGAGTGAGTGAGTTTAGTTTTACGCCGCACTCAGCAATATCCCAGCTATATGGCGGCGGTATGTAAATAATCGAGTCTGGACCAGACAATCCAGTAATCAACATCATGAGCATCGATCTGCGCAATTGGGAACCGATGACATGTGTCAACCAAGTCAGCGAAACTGACCACCCAATCCCGTTAGTCGCCTTTTCCGACAAGCAAAGTCACTCTTTATGGCAAGCACATGGGTTGCTGAAGACCTATTCTACCCCGGATCTTCACGGGTCCTTAAATTCACGAAGAGTCCACGAAGGTAGCAGTGAATGAGTGAATGAGTTCCTATGGTCCCGGATGTGGTGGTCTACCTTCACCTGCTGGTGAGATATGCCCTATTTTGTATGGTTTTGTATAGTGATTGAAACAATGATTCACCAGTGCGACATTAACTAAATACATGATTCGTTTTATGGATAACAATTTCTTTTAATATTTATACGACGTTTCAGAGCTAACTCTTGCTCCTTCGTCAGGTGAAATGTCGTATAAAGAATATAAAGAATTTGTTATCCAAAACCCTGGCATATATTCATGTTCGTCCAACTTCTGAATGACTTTCAAGAACTACAGTATGAGGTGTTGCAGCATGCCGCTTCTATACCTTACCTGCACAGGTGGTTCCATCTCCTTCAAATCCATCAGAACAAGTGCAGGTGTATGATCCTTCAGTGTTGGTACACACAGCGTTGGCATCACATGGACTTTTCTTTTCATCGCACTCATTCTTATCTTAAAAATACAGATATCTTTCATTTAAGAAAGTACAGCGATTATCAAGAATTTTCCAACTCTAGGAGGAGCATCCATTTGGTTCGACAGGGATTGATGCAAAGCCCTGTTTCTCTAAATACGAATCTTCTGCTGTTGCCGTACGTCTAACACTGTATATTGCAAACAGTGGCACGACTTATCATAAGTGCCAGCTGATATACTGCTTAAAAGGAAATTGCTTACTTTGTTGCGTGAAATCGCTTTTCACATTGTTTTGTTTACATATCAATAACACCACACAGAAACAACATATAAAGATCGGCACCTCATGTACAGCTAAAAAAGACGATTTGCCAAAGATGACTGACCCTGCGGAAGCTCGTAATTATCCCAGGTTCCACACACACCCCACAAATGATGAAAAAGGAGAGCAAAAGTAAGGGCCGTTTTTTACTTCGAGAGTCCCTAAAGCTCGACACAGTGGCGTTTGTCTGTAGTTTTCGACCGAATAATGAACAACATAAACATTAACATAATATATTTCAATCGTACCTTTGATTTCTAATATCAACTGAACATGTTAGGTAATATCAGGATTTAATTGTGTATGCTGGAGCCGCATTTTAGCTTGCCATCTTTGTGTGTCATATGTGTGTAATGTTATAGTATATGAATATCACGGGAAATATATGCCTTGAGAAATCAGAAGTAGTTTCATACGTTGAGGTATTTGCCGCGCCTGACACTAATCAGCTATGTGTCTGAAGTCATAAGTTTGTTTGTTAATCGCCAACACCTGGAGCAATGATGTAACTTCATCTAAGGTCCACTGAACTTGCCCTCAGTGAGTGAGTGAGTTCCTATGGTCCCAAGTGTGGTGGTCTACCTTCACCTGCTGGTGAGATATGCCCTATTTTGTATGGTTTTGTATAGTGATTGAAACAATGATTCACCAGTGCGACATTAACTAAATACATGATTCGTTTTATGGATAACAATATCTTTTAATATTTATACCACGTTTCAGAGCTAACTCTTGCTCCTTCGTCAGATGAAATGTCGTATAAAGAATAAAAAGAAGTTGTTATCCAAAAAGCTGGCATGTATTCCTGTTCGTCCAACTTCTGAATGTCTTTCAAGAACTACATTAGGAGGTGTTGCAGCATGCTGCTTCTATACCTTACCTGCACAGGTGGTTCCATTTCCTTCAAATCCATCAGAACAAGTGCAGGTGTATGATCCGTCGGTGTTGATACACACAGCTTTGGAATGACATGATTTTGCATCTTCTTCACACTCATTTACATCATCTAATCACAGGAAGCATGTTGTGAGAAAAAAAAGAACATGAGCGAAATCAGCACTGAGTTGCAGCTTGGAAATGTGAGAAAAGGATTAAATACTACTATTTTTGTGTCACACCTGCACTGAACTGCTGTTTGATATAAAGCCATTCTGCCCGTTTGCTAAGTTGTAGTAGACCGTGTTTAACATATTCAGGCTTCGTCATTGACAGGAGTAAACTGTGAAAAATATACAATGCCATTTAGAAAGCGGTTAAATTGACATACTAGTGTTTCCACATTTCCAATATTGTTTTGGGTTGAGTCCCGCACTCAAATTCAATCTAACCAACTCAGCCAAATCGCTACTACAAATATGTAGTTCACTGAGAAAGTGTGCTACCAAATATAACATTTATATATATTGGGAATGTAACAATGTGATGTCCATGTGGCGACAGATGGAAAATTGGATAAGTACTATTCCAATCAATACACTGTTCACTGTATATTACACTTTAACAAAGTAAACTTCAGTCATTAATTGTAATAGAGGTTACTTGAATAAAACCGTGTAAATGCACGAGAAAAATAAGAACATTTATATCATATGTGAGAAATATGATGTTCACACATTATTGTGTTTTGGTGAGTAGATGTTTACAGTCGGCAGGGGCGACGGGGTTCTTCTTGGAGAAGTTGTTTCTGATATAATATTATCTCACAGCACTTTCAGGTCATTGTAAGGTGATTCTACAGAGACTAATATTTACTACATTTGCGTTACAGTTTGTCATACTGATGTATCGGTATCAGGGTATTGTGTTTGACAAATAGCCTCATGGTGCCATTTGAAAGCTTTTGGTGTAATGTTGTACAACAAATACTATCCAGCTGAGCTGCTTTATCACTGTACACGGAAAGAATTCTTTACTCACGATCACATGTTGCTCCACTAAATCCAACCGTACATACACATCTGAAGCCGGTTGCACCGGAAGGATGACAGATCCCTCCATTTAGACATGGTGTGCTGAGGCATATTTGTGAGGCTAAAATATTAGATACAGAAAGTTTAAACAAACAGATTAACGTATTTTGTATCTACTTTATATTTTTTCCTTCCTTGGGCGCAGGACTGAGAAATAGCTCAACCATAAAGAACAAGGCATTCAACGAAATAAAAAGTCATTGCGGTGTCTTCAAGAAACATCTCTTAAAAATACAGATATCTTTAATTTAAGAAAGTACAGCGATTAAGAAATTTCCAACTCCAGGAGGAAATTCCATTTGGTTAACCAAGGAATCATGCACAGCTATGTTTCTTTAAATACCAATCTTCTGCTGTTGCTGTGCGTCTAACAATGTATACTACAAACAGCTGCACGACTTATCATAAGTCACAGCTGTATGGTCTGCTTGAAGTGAAATTGCTTACTTTGTTGCGAGAAATCGCTTTACACATTGTTTTGTTTTCATATCGATAACGCCACACAGAAACAATATCTGGAGATCGTCACATCATGTATAGCCAAAAATCGATGTGCCGAAGTTGACGGACTCTGCGGAAGCTCGCACTTATCCCAGGTTTCACACAAACGAAAAATGATGAATAAATAGAGATTATTACACGAGCAAGTGTATCATACGACTTATACGAAACGAGTGCGAAATTTTGTATTGCCCGAGGGGGGGGGCGAGGGCGAGGGCAATACAAAATTTGGCACAAGTTTCGTATAAGTCGTGTTGCACACTTGCAATTGTAATAATTTCTTTATCATTCATTTTATTCATGTTCATGTTGTTTTATGACGTCACAGACGATGAAACACAGAAACAATGGTTGCTAGGCAAAAGTAATATGTACACATGTGCACATATGATATTTATGACACTGGTTATGTTTCACCATATGGATAGTAAAGAGAGTATAAGTAAGGGACGTTTTTACTTCGAGAGTTCCAAAAGTTCGACACAATGGTGTTTGGTTGCATTTGTCGACCGAATTAACAACATAAACATTAACAATATATATTTGAATCATGCCTTTGATTTCTATTATCAAGTGAACGTGTGCAACATCTGAATATCACGGGAAATATATGCCTTGAGAAATCAGGATGTAGTTTCATACGTTGAGGTATTTACCACGCCTGAAACTAATCAGCTGTAATTATGTCTGAATTCATAAGATTGTTTGTTAATCGCCAACACCTGGAGCAATGATGTAACTTCATCTAAGGTCCACGGAACTTGCCTTCAGTGAGTGAGTTCTCATGGTCCCTGATTTGGTGGTCTACCTTCACCTGCTGCTGAGATATGCCCTATTTTGTATCGTTCTGTATAGTGATTGAAACAATGATTCACCAGTGCGACATTAACTAAATACATGATACGTTTTATGGATAACAATTTCTTTTAATATTTATACGACGTGTCAGAGCTAACTCTTGCTCCTTCGTCAGGTGAAATGTCGTATAAGGAATTGAAAGAAGTTGTTATCCAAAAAACCTGGCATGTATTCATGTTCGTCCAACTTCTGAATGACTTTCAAGAACTACATTATGAGGTGTTGCAGCATACCGCTTCTATACCTTACCTGCACAGGTGGTTCCATTTCCTTCAAATCCATCAGAACAAGTGCAGGTGTATGATCCTTCAGTGTTGGTACACACAGCGTTGGCATCACATGGACTTTTCGTTTCATCGCACTCATTCTTATCTTAAAAATACAGATATCTTTCATTTAAGAAAGTACAGCAATTATCAAGAATTTTCCAACTCTAGGAGGAGCGTCCATTTGGTTCGACAGGGAATGATGCATAGCCCTGTTTCTCAAAATACGAATCTTCTGCTGTTGCCGTACGTCTAACACTGTATATTGCAAACAGTGGCACGACTTATCATAAGTACCAGCTGATATACTGCTTAAAAGGAAATTGCTTACTTCGTTGCGTGAAATCGCTTTTCACATTGTTTTGTTTACATATCAATAACACCACACAGAAACAACATATAAAGATCGTCACGTCATGTACAGCTAAAAAAACGATTTGCCAAAGATGACTGAGCTCCCTGCCACACACCCACAAAGCTCATAATAAGGGCCGTTTTAAGGTTCCACACAGTGGCGTTTGTCTGTAGTTTTCGACCGAAAATGATGAATAAAGAGAGCAAAAGTAAGGGACTTTTTTACTTCAACTGAGAGTTCCTAAAGCTCGACACAGTGGCGCATTTTGTCTTGCCATCTTTCGACCGAAGAATTAACAACATCAAACATATAACATAATATATTTCAATCGTTAGGTTTGATTTCTAATAATCAACTGAACAGTTTGTTTAATCGGTAACCTATCATGATGTAACTTCATTAAGGTCCACTGAACTTGTAGTGAGTGGAGCCGCAGTGTGGTGGTCTTTCACCTGCTGGTGAGATATTGCCATCTGGTGTATAGTGATCGGAACAATGTGTGCGACATTAACTAAATACATATGTATGTAATGTTATATTTATGCCACGTTTCAGAGTTAACTCTTGCCCCTTCGTCAGATGTAATGTCGTATAAAGAATAAAAAGAAGTTGTTATCCAAAAAGCTGGCATGTATTCCTGTTCGTCCAACTTCTGAATGTCTTTCAAGAACTACATTAGGAGGTGTTGCAGCATGCTGCTTCTATACCTTACCTGCACAGGTGGTTCCATTTCCTTCAAATCCATCAGAACAAGTGCAGGTGTATGATCCGTCGGTGTTGATACACACAGCTTTGGAATGACATGATTTTGCATCTTCTTCACACTCATTTACATCATCTAATCACAGGAAGCATGTTGTGAGAAAAAAAAGAACATGAGCGAAATCAGCACTGAGTTGCAGCTTGGAAATGTGAGAAAAGGATTAAATACTACTATTTTTGTGTCACACCTGCACTGAACTGCTGTTTGATATAAAGCCATTCTGCCCGTGTGCTAAGTTGTAGTAGACCGTGTTTAACATATTCAGGCTTCGTCATTGACAGGAGTAAACTGTGAAAAATATACAATGCCATTTAGAAAGCGGTTAAATTGACATACTAGTGTTTCCACATTTCCAATATTGTTTTGGGTTGAGTCCCGCACTCAAAATCAATCTAACCAACTCAGCCAAATCGCTACTACAAATATGTAGTTCACTGAGAAAGTGTGCTACCAAATATAACATTTATATATATTGGGAATGTAACAACGTCATGTCCATGTGGTGACAGATGGAAAATTGGATAAGTACTATTCCAATCAATACGGAGGAGTTCACTGTATATTGCACGTTAACAAAGTAAACTTCCGTCATTAATTGTAATAGAGGTTACTTGAATAAACTTTAGTCAAACTCCCATGTTTTATCTTTTTGAGTATATTGTTATGCAAAACCGTGTAAATGCACGAGAAAAATAAGAACATTTATATCATATGTGAGAAATATTATGTTCACACATTATTGTGTTTTGGTGAGTAGATGTTTACAGTCGGCAGGGGCGACGGGGTTCTTCTTGGAGAAGTTGTTTCTGATATAATATTATCTCACAGCACTTTCAGGTCATTGTAAGGTGATTCTACAGAGACTAATATTTACTACATTTGCGTTACAGTTTGTCATACTGATGTATCGGTATCAGGGTATTGTGTTTGACAAATAGCCTCATGGTGCCATTTGAAAGCTTTTGGTGTAATGTTGTACAACAAATACTATCCAGCTGAGCTGCTTTATCACTGTACACGGAAAGAATTCTTTACTCACGATCACATGTTGCTCCACTAAATCCAACCGTACATACACATCTGAAGCCGGTTGCACCGGAAGGATGACAGATCCCTCCATTTAGACATGGTGTGCTGAGGCATATTTGTGAGGCTAAAATATTAGATACAGAAAGTTTAAACAACAGATTAACGTATTTTGTATCTACTTTATATTTTTTCCTTCCTTGGGCGCAGGACTGAGAAATAGCTCAACCATAAAGAACAAGGCATTCAACGAAATAAAAGTTCATTGCGGTGTCTTCAAGAAACATCTCTTAAAAATACAGATATCTTTAATTTAAGAAAGTACAGCGATTAAGAAATTTCCAACTCCAGGAGGAAATTCCATTTGGTTAACCAAGGAATCATGCACAGCTATGTTTCTCTAAATACCAATCTTCTGCTGTTGCTGTGCGTCTAACAATGTATACTACAAACAGCTGCACGACTTATCATAAGTCACAGCTGTATGGTCTGCTTGAAATGAAATTGCTTACTTTGTTGCGAGAAATCGCTTTACACATTGTTTTGTTTTCATATCGATAACGCCACACAGAAACAATATATGAAGATCGTCACATCATGTATAGCCATAAATCGATGTTCCGAAGTTGACGGACTCTGCGGAGGCTCGCACTTATCCCAGGTTCCACACAAACGAAAAATGATGAATAATAGAGATTGTTGCACGAACAAGTGTGTCATACGACTTATACGAAACGAGTGCGAAATTTTGTATTGCCCGAAAGTGAGACCTCAGTGTGTGTGTGAGAGAGAGAGAGAGAGAGTGTGTGTGTGTGTGTGTGTGTGTGTGTGTGTGTGTGTGTGTGTGCATTATATTAAGTGTATATGTATAATTCGTGGAATATAAAAAGGTCTCACACAATGTAAAGAAATCAATTACAAGTGCAATATACAATCAGCCTTTTGTCAATGTGGGACAGATTATGTTTTGATTAGGTATTACTGTCATTAATAATGAAAGTATGACGTCTGCAAGTTTGCGAAAAATACATTGTATATGAGGATAATATCTCACCCAAACTGAAGTTCGGCAGTATTGCAATGACGATAAAGACCGTGGCGGCCACATTCTGTACAACAACAAAAAGAAAGGGAAGGTTATAGAAACAATACGATACAAAGCCCTTGAATAAGTTTAGCCTAACATAAATTTTAAGGGAAAATCAAATACTGCGCACTCTTAAGTCGCAAAGATCCCTGATATTTTGATCCAACCCTTGGATTTGGGTTACTTATTGTGACGAAGCAACTGACAGTTACTTCAAGTCCATGGAAATCATGAATGATAAAAAGCCAAAAGTCTGCAAATAGCAAAATGCAATAGTTCAAGATCTGTTTGCTATATATATCAAGTCTTGTAGAAAGATATTGAACGGTTTTCGAGTTGTGATCCGGAACGAAACCCACCCATCCCTTTTGTTACTAAGTCCGAATCGTTTCCATGGAAACCGGGAAAAATGAAAATGACAAATATCTGCAAATAGCAAAAGGCACCACTTCAGGTTCTGTTTGATATATCTACAAAGTCTTGCAGAAAGATATTTAACGGTTTTCGAGTTGTGCTCCGGAAACGAAGCCCACCCCTCCATTTTGAGACTAAGTCCGAATCGTTTCCATGGAAACCAAGAAAAATAAAATGCCAAAAATCTGTAAATAGCAAAAAGGAACCACTTTAGCTTATGTCTGATATATCAACCAAGTCTTGACGAAAGATATTGATCGGTTTTCGAGTTGTGCTCCGGAAACGAAGGCCATCTGTCCCTTTTGAGACTAAATCCGAATTGTTTCATGGAAACCGGGAAAATAAAAATGCCAAAAATCTGCATATAGCAAAAGGCACCACTTTGGGATCTGCCCCACATATCTGCCAAGTTTTGCTCAAAAATATTAAGAAGTTTTCGAGTTGTGCTCCGGAAACGAAGTCCACCCCTCCATTTTGAGATTAAGTCCGAATCGTTTCCGTGGAAACCGAGAAAATAATAACTCACAAAAATCTATAAATAGCAAAAGGCACCAGTATACTTTCTGCTGGATATATCTACAAAGTTTTGTTGAAAGATATTGAACGGTTTGTGAGTTGTGCTCGGACATGAAACCAATCCATCCTTTTTTAGACTAAGTCCGAAACGTTTCCATGGAAACGCAGAAAAATAAAAATGCCAAAAATATGTAAATAGCAAAAGGCACCACTTTAGCTTATGTTTGATATATGTACCAAGACTTGAAGAAAGATATTGACGGGTTTTCGAGTTGTGATCTGGAAACGGAGGTCACCCCTCCTTTTAAGACTAAGTTCAAATCGTTTCCATGGAAACCAAGAAAGATATAAATGCCCAAAATCTGTAAATAGCAAAAGGCACCACTTTAGGTTCTGTTTGATATATCTATCAAGTTTGGTTGAAAAATATTAAACGGTTTTTTGAGTTATGCTCCGGATTACGGACGGCCGGACAGATATATGAGAGAGATCTTGAAGTGGTGCCGTTTGCTATTTGCAGATTTTTGTCATTTTTCCTTGGAAACGTTTCAAAAAAGAAGGGTGGGCTTTGTTTCCGGAGGACAACTCGAAACCGTATATTAACTTTCCACAAAACATGGCAGATATATCAAATAGAACCTAAAGTGGTGCCTTTCGCTATTTACAGATTGTTGTGATTTTTATTTTTATTGGTTTCCATGGACACGTTTTGGACTTAGTCAAGTTCAACTTTAAGTAACTGTCAGATAATTTGCTCTTTCATATTTGTGGGGGCCGGGGGGATTTGTCTCTTCTGATGACTCTTGTTTAACTATTTAACATTAATACTCTGAGCAACCACTTAAGAGACTGTTACAGCTATTATCTGTCTTCTCATCAGTTACAGACCGCTTTATTCTAGATATCAGACTGACTTTAAGCACTACAGATGAAGAGACATTACACAGTATCTACTTGGAGGTATTTGTAATGACTGAGAGCAATTAATAAAGAGAACTGATTATTAGCAGATACAATGCACACCATATGAATGTTGGACGAATGAATGTCTCTTAATATATGTCGATATGGCTGAAATATTGCCGATGTGACGTTAAATATTAACTCACTCACTCACTCACTCTTAATATATGTATAATTTTCACAAAAACAAATACACGTACATGTAATTTCTTTTAAATTGAAAAGAAGTTCCAGTGAGATAGGAGATTTCGAAACTCGAAACAGCTGCATTGTGGCTACTTGTTCTTGGGTTATTATCAATTATACATTACAACCAAGAGATAAAAGGTTAAATGACTGGTTTATTCACTAGCTCTCTTGTCAAGGTCAGGTCTCACTCCATGGAGTTTAACTAAAAATGTTGTCAAATACACAATGCCAGTTTAGAAAGTGGTCAAATGTATATTTGGGATTACACTTTCTTTGTAAAGTACAGATTCTAGTACTTTTGGGGGGAGTTGAGTCCCATCCGGGATTCGAACCCACACCCTCAGAGTCAGGCACCTATTCGCCAGCACACAAAGTCAGACGCCTAGACCGCTCAGCCACCGCGGCTTCCGCAAAAATGGAAGTCGGACAACTGGTAGTCTAGACTACGGACTTTGTGTACCCCTCTGATAAGTGTTAATTGGCACGGCTCCCACGGCCGAAAGCTATGAAATACACAATGCCAGTTTCGAAAGTGGTCAAATGTAACGTGTTTTATTTGGGATTACACTTTCTTTGTAAAGTACAGATTCTAGTACTTTTTGGGGGGTTGAGTCCCATCCGGGATTCGAACCCACACCCTCAGAGTCAGGCACCTATTCGCCAGGAATCTAGACTTGCTTCATTTAGGGCTTAGGCATTGCATAAAGGGCTGAGCATAAAGGTAAATAATGTGGTTCAGGGACTGTGAGGCAGACTACATGAGTGTTTGTGGACCCCTTACTTGAGTGAGTGAGTATGGTTTGACAACGCCTTCATATTCCAGCAATACCACGGCGGGGTACACCAGAAATGGGCTTCACACATTGTACCAATCTGGGGAATCGAAGCCTGGGCCAACGCTTTAACCACTAGGCTACCCCACCGCCCCTTTGCCTTACTTTAAGTGATATTTAAATTGAATCAGATATCTTGTTTTGCAAGAAGTTTTATTTTTACCTTACCATTTTTTTTCTTGGTATGTTGTAAACGTTTTTCCACTTATCAAAATCATATGTGTCGACAGGGGATATAAAGATAAAGATAAAGATGATGGTTGCCCATCTTTGATAATGGCAAATAGCCAGATGGATTTTGTAAATTCTTACTGGGATGTATAGCTGAAGTACTGCTGATGTGACTTTAAATATGTACTCACCTATCTGCTCCGTGTAAATAATATCCTTAGAGATGCAGATATCACAAGATTTGTAATACACCCCCTGAATAATTGATCTAGTGTTGATTCAAACACGTGATATGGAGGAAGTATTGGGAATCTGTCAAATCAACTTTCTTTGGGAGAAGTATTGGCAGAACCAAGGTGACCATCCCCTGTGTCCACGAGAAAATTTCAAAAGTGAAATAATGGTCTTAGAGACAAGGAAACAGTTTCCAATAGGGCGTCTGTGTGGTCCTTGCATAGTTCCCCATCACGGCAGCCTTCTCCATTACCCTGAGCGTCAGAAGAGCTGTGCTCCAGATGGAGAACCAGGGCACTCTCCTGATCTGCACCAAGTGTGTATTTGGAGTGTAAATGATATATTTTAGAAGCAAGGTCCACATATTTGTCATGCTTTTACTGAATATTTCATTGCTGACAAAAAGAATAGAGAATTCAATTATTTAAATGATAAATAAAAAGCACAAGATCAGGAATGCTAGCAGGATTTTGTCTTAGGTTGCATATTGGCCTATTGCAAAGAAGTTTAAAAGCATCATTTTCCAAGACGGTCTGAACATATTCATGGTCGTACCATGGATGGACCTCGGTATCGAATCCAGATGCATGGCGAGGACGGTAATAAAAGCCACAAGCCATGGCAGCATGTCTTTTAAGATATGCTCTTTGTTCCAACTGTCAAGAGGGTAAACAATCCCTGTGAATTCATTGCACAGTGAACATTTCATGTTAATATTTTTTTAGCGAATGAGAGTGGGGAGTGACTGGTATTGTGCAGCAAAAGAAGAAACTCACTTTTTCACTCTTATGATCAGCCGACTTCATCTACGTGAAGGGGTCGATTGGATTGCTATACACAAAACATATATACATGATACCGAAGTTTCTCAGGAAGCTTTTCCACAAATGACGAACGCTTTTTCCACAAATGACTGACTCTGGTCAACTTGGCAAATGACTTCACCTGGTTTACTCCCCAAAATACATCGCCATCAAGAAAATCAACCTCAATATTGAGATTCTGTTCATCACCCTTGGCACGCTGAAAATAGCTGTGGAATTTCTTACTTTCATCACGAGACATGATATACATCACCAGATGATGCATGAGCCTTCCCATTAATCAAACCCTGAGCTCCAGAATTTATTGGCATATGTAAACGATTAAGAGAGGAACGTGGGTGGTGGGCTCTGTGTCAGACATGATCATTCCAGTGAAGAGTGGAGGTGCCGAGTAAAACTATTGGAAGAAGCCTCACTATATGAAACTGGCCACCGTTCGCTGCCTTTACAAGGACACGAGATTTTGCCTCTCTAGTGGCTCAAAACTTAAAAATATGAACAATATGTAATATATTCAGATTTGCCTTCATGCTATTAATAACATGTCTCCTTACCATCCAGACCGCCTCCGTGGTGTAGTGGTTAGAGCATCCGCCCGGAGAGCGGAAGGTCGCGGGTTCAATCCCTGACCGCGTCATACCAAACGACGTAAAAATATGGTACTTGTTGGTCCCTGCCTGGTGCTCGGCATTAATGGGTACAAAAAGGACTTGTTGGCTCGGAGTCAGTATAATGTGTCTGAGTGGGGTATTCATGCTTCGCTGCGGCTTGTTATCTCAGCGGGCTAGCACTATAAAACCAGCCTAAGTCTGGGCTAGTACAAGCAGCCGCACATGCACATGCACACGCATGCACGTCGTCATATGAGTGAAATATTCTCAAGCACGACGTTAAGCCCAATTTCACCTCACATCAGCTTACCATCCACTTTTCATGGAACGTTTTGAATTATTAAATATTCTTGCTACTGACCAATAACGACATCGTCTTTTGTTGGTTACCCAGCCCTGTTGGAATCGTTGTTAACGCGATGGCTGATGTTGCAGCTAAAACAGCACTCAACAAATCTGTGACACTTATCCCATACAGTAATGATAAACGTGTCATTAGATGTTACATACAAATGCAAGAAGAGGGACACCAAAGTAGGTGTCAATAAACTACGTGAAATTGAACCAACCATTGGTTATACCTACTTGAGTTATCATTATGAGGCCATTATACGACTTTGTCGATTTAGCCATTCACAATATATACACATGAATATTTGCTTAGAGGTGACGATACTATTTTCTGTATCCAATGTGATGGAAGAATCACGGTCAAGCATGTCCTGCTTGACTGTATTGATTTTTCCATCAAAGAGAATAAATATTTCAAGGTTCCAACCTTAGGTTCTTTTCAATATCAGTTTGCATTCAGTAATTAGATTTTTAAAGGATATTGAATTGCTTGATAAATTCTGATAAACATAATTAAATATTTCGAATTGTAAGTAACCTTTTTAATATGGAAAAATGAATAAATAACTGTGATTGTTAGTGACTGTACCTTCAAAGGTGGTTGAAGTAGTGTGATACAATTGTCCCCATGAGAGGGTAATTCTAAATTCATTCATAGTATTTTCCATTCTCCGAATTTTAATCGTAGAGTTCTTGTAATTTAAAGTATGGCAAATATGCTTCAAAATTGCCATTACCTGAAGGTATGATGTAAATCCAACTATGGATCATGCAGGTACCAAAGGTACTATAAGTCTCCACGGTCCCTATCATGGTGAGCTCCTTGTAGTTACTGACGATTTATAGCCCGTTTCTATATTGTATTGTTCTTTTTAATCATATCCTTTTATGACAACGTGCTAGTTTTAAATTAATACGTCATAATCTATACGTCAATTTAATGCAGTAATTGTTTTCGTTACTATATGGCTGAAATATTGCCGATGTGAAGCAAAATCTTAACTCACTCACTCATAGTCAGACTTTGTGCACATAATCTACGCATGACTTGATGTCTCTTGTATTCCGGAATATCTGAAACTTTTAATTTGTCCCACTGTTTTCCCGTAAATAAAGGAAACATTATTTGTTCGGTGTCCAAAACAATGGACTTTATGCAGATCAAGATTATATAATTCCATGTATCCATGTCTTCAGAGCCCTTCTTCGATTGACATGCCAGTAAAGACCAGTAATAGTTTTTTTATTGATAAATACATATATTTAGTTATCATCATCATTACTTTTTACATTTAACGAGTGTTCAAGAAAGTTATTCAAGCGAATGAGTTACAATTTATCGCCACCTCGGCATATTTTAGCCATATAGTGACCTGTGTTAAATAAATCGATCATAAAAGACAGTAAAATACTAAAAGATATCAAATTTTATGCCAAAAAATGAAACATTACACATATTAAAATCTTTTAGTTAACACAAAGATTACATATATCATTTAATATCATTAAAATATAAAGCATGTTGACCACCATACTGAGGACTATGGGGACTTTTGCTACCTGCACGGACCCTAGCTTGATTTACATCATCCCTTCAGGCGAGGGGATTGTGCCAAAATATAGTCCCAATCTAAAATCACAAATAAACTACGTTTACAGAATCTGGTAAGCTTAAAGTTATTTTGAATGCGTAGAGATTGAGCACCCGAACAGGCGGTAAATATCTTTAAAATATTCTAACCCCTGGGAGGATACTGCCACAAACAATTTCATTTGCTAATTTAAACTACCAGTTATAATCATTTATCTATTTACAAACTATTAATTCCATCAACATTTATCCAACAGTTCATTTTTCTTTTTTAAATTGCAAAAATTAAATGCGAATGAACCAAAAAAACCATATTCAAGAATATTACCTTTGCTATTCCAGTTGTCATCTTCTGATGTTTAAAGTGGAGTTAAATTGTGAGTTGAAAACGTTGTCATATTTATAGTTTCCGTGGAGCACATCATATATATGCAACAGCATGGGTTATCAATATCCATCCCATCACATGTCGCAATGATTTTTATATCGACACTGGTTAGTGCGTATATGTATCCTTGACGTTTGTTCATTTGTTCTTGATTATTCACAGGTCCCGTAAAATGTATGTAACATTGATCACTTCGGCGTTGAACAACCAACAACAAACATAGCATATAAAAAGCACCTATTTATGAGTGAGTTTAAATCAAGTTATACAGTTCCAGCTGGGTACCGTGCAGGTTTCATATGTACTCCAACCCGCCATGGTCCTTGGTGTGGTGGCCTAACTTTGGCTCCTGGTGATCAAGACCCAGATTTAGTTTCAGTAGTTATAAACAGTCACAATTTAATACTTACATACTAGTTTTATATCTACATCTGCGATCATTTAGTTATTGTACTTTCCTTTGTAGACAGGTTTTAGTTTACCAAGGGATAAAGTGGACTTCAGGTACTTCTGTTCCCTACATGATTCACAGAAGGATTTACGTTATCACTTTGGCCACTAGTGGCTTTGTCCAGTGCTAACCAATATTTAAAAACTTCACCGTAATTTAGCGATTAAAATACTAGTAGATATTATATACTGCAATTAGGTTCGGATTACGTGCTACTGTCAGGGGGCTATAATTTTACGCTAAGTAAAACGCGTGTAGCCAATTCACCATCGTCTTAATACGACTTCATCGTGCCTTGATGTACAACCCTAGTATAACCTAAAGACTTTTTAATTTTCATGAAGTCTGTTTATATCTACTTGGGTGTCCCACTTTGTTTGCTTCAGCTAAATAATGTACCGTCAAATAGAGGGTTTAACGTGACTTCACGGAATTTGAACTGGATTGGTAGATTTCTCAAGAGCTGCTTCCGCTGCCGCTTCAGTTTTTATGGTCCCAGCAATGCCAACATGACTTGGTAGCCAACAAAAGACGATGTCGACTAGCCAGTGGAGAGTTCGTTGAACAATTCCATAATATCAAGCATGAAAGAATGTTTTGAAGATGAGTCATTAAGTGCTTGAAGACAGGAGAGAGAGAAGATGATAAACTGCTTGTATTTCCATTGACGCTGAATATATTCCAAGGCCGTGTGAATAGTTTTGGCTTTAGCTGTAAAGATAAAACTGTTATCAGAAATACTGGATGATATGATTGCAGTCCCAGGGACCGTGGCACATGAAGCCTTGCCACTATCCTTGGAACCACCTGTGATTATTAAACGATGAGTGTCATATTTAGCACGTAATTGTACACATTCCTGTTCATAAATAAACTGATTTGTGCCGGATTGTTATAGATTTAGTTAGAGAAAGATCAACGTTAGCCCCGGCTAATTGCCAGAAGGGGAGTAGACAGAAGTCGGCTTGGCATCCGTAATCTGGGGCTTGATACTAATTGTCCCCTGTCGCAACGCGGAACGGGGGACTATGTATTCAGCAGCGTCCGTACGTACGTACGTCCCGATTCTTGCTAACGCGATATCTCATGAACTGTTGTACCCATTGTCTTCACATTTCGTGACAGCCTACCTTGGGGGATTCCGCAGCCACCAGACCATGTTGGTGCCCTTGACCTCATCGTCAAAGTCACCACGACACTGTTCAAACTTATGTAAACGCGACATCTCATAAAATATTGCACCCAGTGGTCTTCAGTTATGTCAACAGCCTTCATTGGATGATTTTGCAGGCACCAGTCATTTCTTGTATGTGACCCAAAAGTAAAACGTAGTAAATATGATATAAATATTTCATTCTTCTTTAGCGGCGGGGGACATTGCCATATTAGTGGCAAACACTTGTTCCAAGTGGGGGTAAAGCTTCGGTTTATTTTGAAACAAGTCCTCGTAAAGAGGATTGAAGACACAATTGTAAGCTGGATTTTAATGTAATTTAGTTATATACTGACGGGGCAATTTCAAACAGCGTTGTTTTAGGGAAGGCTCGTCAGCCTCTACGTACAAACTTTGTCAAATTTCTTTCTTTTTTTAAGAGTATATAACAAAGCTATATTCTATCGAGTCTAACCCTGCATTGAACTGTTTTTAATCCTCTTTATGGGGATCTGTACAACAAGTCGTCTCTTATTCCGTCTCTGGGACTACGAGTCAAACCTTTCCTTTCTGCTGCTGGCATTGAGTAACAAAAAATATCTCCTTCCCGTCTTCTTTCTTCTCCTCCTTGGCAATTTGTGAGTCCAAAGGTTGACCTAACACTGACAACATTAAAAAATCCAAAATATAAACAAGAAGTTAATCAATTAATAAGTAAATATACAGTCGAGCACCGTTGTGTCGAACTCTGACTCGATATATCGATTGTCTCGATATAACATCTCGGTCCCGGCAAAATCCTTCATAATTTATCATTATTCAAGCTCTTTTAACTCGATACGGATATCTCGATATTTCAGATATCTGGATATAATTTCATGGTCCAAACAAGCAAAATTGCTCTTTTAACTCGATATTTGCAAAGAAACTCGATATTTACCTACCTTTCATGTGTATCCCTCTGAACTCAGGTTGTTTCCTCACGTTTACACACGGTGCGGCATGAATCAAAGGGATGCAGTAGTGTAAACTAATTAGGGCTAATTGAGTTGAAGGTGTCACTTGTTTGTTATTTAATTAGGATTATTTAAGAAGGAATTAATTATGAAGTACTTACTGTTACGACTAAAGATTGCTGATACCGGTTTATAGTTTCGACTCAAAACATACTGAGAAGCGTTTTGTTTTCTTTCATAGTGATATGTGATGATATGCCCTGGTCGGATGTCTCGTTGTTCGGATAACTCGATTTTTTTCTTGGTCTCATGAATAATAATAAGTCATCTTCTATAGCGCACAGTCTCGAAACACCAAGTGTTTGCTCGCGGCGCTTAATCAAAATCTGATTCTTATTACCCCGGATAACCCAAGGTACCTGTTAGGCGCTAGAAGGTTATAGTCACATGACTTTATCCAACCGGGTATCTATTTTCTGCTGGGTGAACAGAGGCAACTTTGAACAAATTCACTTGCCTAAGGTGAGACCACATGTATCACATGTGCTTCGTTGTGGAGCAGGACTGAAGTCCTAGAAACTTAACTTAACTTCAACTGATTCGTGACCTGAGCTCTGTGCACAGGTACACGCGCCGCCACATACAGCCTTAATATAAACGGCATATGAATTTAAATAATTGAATTATATTATGATCCTGCTGCTGGCCAGTACGACATCGTCCTCTGTTGGTTACCCAGCCATGTTGGTATTTCTGGTAACACAATGGCCGATCTGCTGCTAAGGCAGCACTCAACAAATCTGAGACACAACTTCTGATCCCATACTACGATTACAAATCCATGGATAGATCTTATATCCATGATCTGGTGCTGAAGAAGTAGGACACCCAAGTAGGTATCAATAAATTACATCAATAAAACCAACAATTGGTTACACCCACAGTCCAGTTTTGCAGAGGTCATTTTGGGTGGGACGATGTCGCATTGGCCCCAGCAGATATATTCATGAGTACTTAGGGGCCTATCCTCCGTTTTGCATCCCTTGTGATGACAGAATCACGGTCAAGCGTGTCCTGCTTGACTGTATTGATGTTTCCCTCACAAGAGATAAATATTTCAGTGTCAAAACGGTAAGTGGTCGTTTTAATTAAAGGTCACATGCAACCAAAAAATCAAACATAATTAAAACACAATTATCACTTATTCATGACATATAATATACATTGCTGGTTATGAAAAAACATATGCCTGTGAGATATCAACAAAACATTAGAAAAATAGCTCACACCAAAGCCTTCACCGGACAACCCGCTTCCAAGCTGCGCGAACCTATTTCACTGCGCACGTGCTATAAGCGCAGCCCAGCTGTTGAAACCAGTTTTCCCCCGAAAAGTCGGGGGAAAATTAGTGAAACGTTTGAACTCCGATTTCGCGCGGTTTTTTTCATAGCGTTATTTTTCAACTTTATAAGTTGAATAGTTGGTACAAGGTATCAGAATCTGCAAAGTTGTGTTTTACGTTGCATGTGACCTTTCAGTTCATCTTCATGTAATTATTCGTTTTTTAAAAGAAATTGAGTTAATTGATAAATTTTGAATTGTAATTTGTAAATGAATTTTAATTTGTTTGAATAGATGGGGTTCAAGTAGTGTAAAATTAGTGTCCCCTGTGAGGGTATATAAGGTATTTTTCGTACTACGTGTTTTTAATTGCAGAACATGCGCTCTTCTATTCTTTGGCCAATTCGGAGTACAATTACCAACGGCTGAAGGGATGGTGTAAATCCAGCTTGGGTCCATGCAAGTAGCAAAAGCACTGTAAGTCCAAATGGATCCTAGTATAATGATCTTCCTTTAGTTGCTGGCGATTCATAGCTTGTTTTTACATTGAATTGATCGTATTAATAATGTCGTTTTATGATAACATGTTAGTTTTACAGTGAGAGGTGTGATAGACTATTAGTCTTACTGTTCATCGTCAACAAGTTTTCAATTTCCGGATTTACCGATCTTTAATATTATTATTAATTGTTCTCATGCCGGTATGACGATAAATATTAACTCACTCACTCACATTTAGTGAGTACACTCGGGTTATCAGTAAGAGAATTCTTACCCCTCACATCAATAACTGGATTAAATTTAGTTCCCTATCAAAAGTTGTGCATCCATATTTGTCAGATTAGCACAAAGGATAATATTCAACGGGAACGTGATTAAACGTTGTATTTGTTAAAAGTCTTTGCGTGCAAAATTGGAGTGAAATAAATATGGGTACTGGTCAATACTCATATTGATAGTATTGGGTGACCTCGACTAAACTGAAACTACCAAGCTGTCACTCAGTTCTCAATATTGTATGACAACATTGTCAGCAAGGCAGAAGGTTGTGAACGTCGATAATACAAGGTCAGTCCTAAAATATTGACATACCTCGCCTAGATGAACACTACCAATTCTGCTGTCGAAAACTGCATTGTTCGAACAGACATTGTGAAGTCACCTTCTGTTATCAACAGAGCGTGTGTTAAACGAAGGAAATCTTCTGCTTGCTCAGATCTATACTAACGGAAAAAAGTAACTGTTAAAGTAAATTGAAGAAAATTAAAGTAAAATATATTGAAAACTGAAGAACGAGTGATTATTGTCTGACCTTTGAATTTGGTTGAAAACACGTTAATTTCAACCTAAACTGCGTGTACGTCATGCCACGACTTACAGAAAACCAGCGTCTCCACGCCAAACTTTTCCCCTTGCTTTAGAGGCATTTGAAGAAATATTCGCCAAAATGTAACCAAGAAAACATGCAAAGAAACTTGCATATCAAGAAAGCGGAAAAGCATGCGGTATCGATCACTATCAAAAGGCAAACGTTGTGTTTAATTTTGTCATTCGTTTTTGCCTGGAAAAGAGAGTGAGAATTAGTTAATTTTAACGTCACATCGGCAATATATCAGCCATATCGTGACGAAAACAATTTATACAAAAGTGAAAACATTTTGAAGACTGGAAAAGAGGAAATCATCATGCCACGACTGAGTACTGCCAATCGAAACATCGCCATAGGCCGCCTTGAAGGTGGGGAGTCGCAGTCTGCAGTTACCCGACATTTCAACGTACATCAGAGCACCATATCTCGCCTTTGGGTGACCAATTCCGTCCAAGATCGTCCAAGAGTTGCCCCCCATGTCCGGGTGGCACCCGTGAACAGGCACCTCCTCGTGGTGGGTGCTGGGTAACGCTAAGAGCTTTTGAAGCCACCGGGTCCACACGGGGCTTGTTTTCATATTTCCAATATGTTTCCTCATATTTGGTCCACCAGCCTGTTTGCCGTGGGTTGCGCCCCTGTGTCGGTGGAGGAGTGAGGGAGTGAGTTAATATTTAACGTCACATCGGCAATATCTCAGCCATATTGTGACGAAAACAATTTATACAATAAAATGTGAAAATATTTTGAAGATTAAAACCTGTCGACGATGGACAATAAAAATACTAGATAATCACAGATATAATATAAAACCAGCGAACAAAGCTAAAACATTCCAATTAAAGAAGACAATACAACATAAAACACGGGCTATATATCGCCAACAACTGAAGTTATATCACCATACTAGGAACCACGGGGACTTACATTGCTTTTGCTACCTGCATGGAGCCTAGCTGGATTTACACCATCCCTTCAAAAGAACAAAAATAGTACGTTTAAAAACTTGGTACGTGAAAACTTTACTTTGAAAGTTTTGGGGACTTACGTACCCTCTCAGGAGGACACTAATTTTACGCTACTTCAACCCCCTTTGAGGATACAGCCATTAACAATCTAAGTTGATAATCTGAACTACCAATTATAAAACTTTATCTATTTACAAAACATATATCAAAATTCACTTAACAAATCTATCTCTTTTAAAAAATCAATGATTAAATGATAATTAACTTTATTAGAAAGATCCTTTACTGTTTTGATGTTGAAATATTTATCCCTTATGATGGAGAATTCAACGCAGTCAAGCAGTGCTTGACTGTAGCTCTCTCATCACAAGGGATACAAAACGGATGATCCTCACCTTTCAATAGGTATTCATGTGTATATCTTGTGTGGCCGGAACGTCA